CTTTATTAGGGTTTATTTTTTGTCAGAATCTGTTTCTTTTAAGAAAAGCTACGATTCTCACTCAGTAAAATTAATGCCATATTTCAGAACTCGTGGTTATGATATTTCAAATGATTATCCTATATTATTATATTATTTATACTTAGCTTTGGTTTGGGTTAGGTTACACACACCGTCTTTGATATATTTCTTAAAATGCCAATAGAGTACCATATTCGTCGTTTTTTATCATTTTGTTCGATATATGGGTGATCTAGTTCATGGCCCACCTAGTTTAAGTGTTTACTGGGCCCATAGACGTCACAAATTTCAATGTGAATTCCAATTGACGACATGTGAATTTAACATCCCAATTTTATAACACTTTAATATTCTGATTCCATCTGCCTATTCTTGCGATGTTTTTCTATAAAATAAAGAATAAATAGCATTCACAGAATTTTTAGCTCGATAGCATGTAGATTGTTTCCGTGGGATGAAGTGAAGTTGGCGTTATGAAATATTTATCCGAAATTCACTAAAAAAAATACAATTTATAAAATATTACTCAGTTTACTTTTAAAAACTTCAATATAATCCGTACATAAATTGATATCATATTATGCATCAGGAAATATCTGAAAATATTTCAAACTATTTTATAGCGATTAAAGACAGATTGTTTACAATTGTTACGGAACAGTGTATGTCGTAAAGAAGTAAATCCTAATAAATGACGAGCTCAATGTTGCCAATATCATAAAATATGCGGAATATTAGCGCCTACGAATTTATTTCGAATTTAATCAAAACCTTGAATCTTAGTGGCCAACATAACATGATGAAAAGTGAATATGCCAAGAATTTCTTAACGAATTCCAGATGTTGGAAATGTGAAACTAACAAAGAGAAAATCAAAAAAGTTTAAAATTCAAATTCCGAATCTATATCGAATATCACGTTTTCGCAGTATCCAGGGATAAATATTGGATTAGTTCCGGGAGCAGGTGGCCGGTCAATGATGCAGCAACCGAGCTACGACTTTACGAGAACCATTAAGCGGAAGTGTCAACAACATAAACCGTGAACGTCATTGGTTTATTGGACTAACACAATGTTCCACGGTTTCCGGATTTTCAAAGACTACATTAAATATTACATTTTTTTTTATTGCTTAGATGGGTGGGCGAGCTCACGGCCCACCTAGTGTTAAGTGGTTACTGGAGCTTAAAGACATCAACAACGTAAATGCGCCATTCACCTTGAGACATAAGTTCTAAGGTCTCTCAGTTTAGTTACAACGGCTGTCCCACCCTTCAAACCGAAACGCATTACTGCTTCACGGCAGAAATAGGCAGTTCGGTGGTACCTACCTGTGCGGACTCACAAGACGTCCTACCACCAGTAATTTTAATCGAACTTTATTGGCGTTTAAGTTTTTGTTTTAATAGTTTTATGATTAGAAGCATTTGATACGACAACGTGTGCACAACTGCATTAACTGCAGTGATACGAAAAAAAGTAATTGCTCCCAAAATATTTAGAGAAATTAATAATTTAAAGCACGTGTTTGTGATAAATACATAGTAATTAATATATTATTGGTAATCACGCACACTCTAAAGTGTTAAAAGCATCGCAATTAATATAACGACAGTGAATAACACTAGATTAAGCCGTTAATTTTGAATGCTCATTAATATTACAGCCTCTTTTGATCGATTTAAAGCAAACGAAATTTCTTTTTGAAGTTATACTTCTTTAGGCGCGTTATGAAAAATTGATGCGAGTGAAATTTTACGATGCGCGCGCACCGTGACACAAAATTAACAGAAATGAAGTTGCCCACTAAAGAAAAAATGCTACCAACAAAACAGAAATGGAACCTCTGTTAGTGGCGCATGTTGGCACGCACGCCGCCTCTGTTCACTGTGTATTTATATTTATAATATTTATACACATGCTTTGAGTTTCTACATTTAAAGCACGTGTTTTCATTTTGTTTTCATTATACAGGTGCGAATTTTATAAGTGCGTCTGAATTATAATCAGAAAATATTTGTGAAAAAACTGTGCTCATCAACCTTCCTAAGTGCTCCAATACAATTGAGGTTAACTATCCGTATATATTATTTAGTAATATAAATGAAAAAAATATTTTATTAAAACGTTAAATTTTTAATATTAATTATTTAATATTAAAAAAAAAGTATAACTTCTTACGCGCGCACATAAGCACACGCACCCTTTTATTCTATTTAGAGCTACTTTTTCAATAAACAAGAAATAACTAAGTTCAAAACTTCGTTGCGATAAATCAGATAGTTCCTATTTTAATATTATCGTTGTGTAAACAGCTGCCAACATCGCAATTTAAATTATGCTTGTTTAAAATAGAACACAGTCCGTCAGATACACTTGGATTCAATCATAAAAGGGTAGTAAAGTTTAAGAAATACATAAAATATATGTAGATGTACCTACCCGTATAATTTACTTATACAATATTTCAATATTTGCCGCTCCCTGCGAATAAAGCAATGCGGACGAAAGGTTGTGTTCCTCTAAAATTATTGATTTTATTACATTTTATTATTGCTGGTAAGACCTCTTGTGATTCCACACGGGTAGGTACCTCCACCCTGCCTATTTCTGCCGTGAAGCAGTAATTCGTTTCGGTTTGAAGGGTGAGACAGATTTTGTAACTATACTAAGAGCTTATACCTTAGAATTTATATCTCAAGGTGGGTGGCGCATTTACTTTGTAGATGTCTATGGGCTTCAGTAACCACTTAACACCAGGTGGACTGTGAGCTCTTCCACCCAACTAAGCAATTAAAAAAAAAATAATAATAATAAATATAAATTTGTTATTGAAACCTCGAGATCCCCTATAGCAGGTAACTTTTAAGATTTTCTAAAACATAAAGACTTGGAGATAACGCCGATGCTCTGACCTTATCTTCACTTGTGAAGTCGAAAGTCACAAACATGCGACAATGACGATTTTTCGTTTATTTATATAAGGCCAGCTAAACCCTAGAGTTCATGTTATAGATATCGTGCTATATAAAAAAACAAAGAAACCAAAATTAATATCTACAAGAATGTATTCATAAAAAGACATTATGTTCTATAAAAAAAAATCGGTTGTCTGTAAAGTCGGTTTACTGACGAGGAGGCCGATTGTGCTTCTTTGTCGCTCGTTGCGCGCTCTCGCTTGCACTTCAAACCTTAAATGTAACGCCTCAGAGCGAGGTAACGCCGCATGAGTCATATTTTTTCGTGCGTGCAGTCGGCTCCATAGAATTATAAGACGTTGTCAAGTCAAAAAAAACTCCATTGATTAATTACAAAATGCTTCACAATCAAGATCGGAAGTTCGATGTTACGTGAAACGAATAGACTTCGTTATAAAAACGAATTTATTAGCTTAATTATCGTGTAAATAAATTACATTTGGTACACGTTGTTTTAATATCCGAACACTCGTGTTTAGAATAAAATAATTAACCTTTAGTAAGGCCATGGCGAATGTCGCGACTGTTGGATGACAGCCAATCTTTTAAGAAAGCGGTATTTAACTCGATCAAAGATTACCGGAAGCTATTTATAAAAAGCATAGACTAGATATAATATATTTTTAAAGTACGATACAAAAGGTTCAGAATTGGAAACATATGTATATAAAACGGATACAAAATTTCTTTTGTATGGTAATGAGAACGCGTTGCCAATAATTTTGGCCGTAGTAAACAGAGTTGTGACCTAGTTTTATTTAATAAAACCAACAATTCGTTATGAAGGGAATATCATTGGACTGTTCTTTTTTGTTGATTTTGAATTGACAAATGAGCTTATTTAGTGTGGATATGTATGCAGATTCCTCCTTGAGACATATGGTCGAGGTCTCAATTGGGTATATAGATATTTAGGAGTATACGACAAAGGGAAGATCTTCCACCGAGCCAGTGAAATTGCTCGGTAGACCGACGGTCCAAATTTTATTGGTTGGAATTTGTATATATTCAACCTTATCTTGAAAATGTCGTTAACGAGATTCAAGAGATTCGAGATTTTTCAAATATCTTGTGTTCTGTGATAGCTACCCGCAACAAATATAGCGTGTCGACTATTTGCCTACGCGTCCATGCAATCTTACAAAACAGCTTACTACCAGTAATGACGATATATAAGTTACTACGATGTCGTTCCTTTAGTGTAGAAGTCAATTGTGAACACGTACTTGCTAACTCAGGATGTTTTGTGGCCGCAAGAATAGGTATCAGCAAAGTCTAGAGAGTAATACTCTAGAGAGACGTGTCCCGATTTAAAGAGTAGGACCCCATGACTCAAGCCGAGCGACCGCATTCAATTTCTTGCTAAGTTTCGGTAACCGCTTAAGAAAAACTGAAGCGTTTGCGAATCTACCTATCGAGAAAAGAAAGGGAAGGGTTCTCTGTTCAGAAAGAACGGGAAGCATGTGGTTCCGTTATGTGCGATTGTAATTTTTTTGCCTACCTATTGCTAATAGTCTCGACGGGTTATGCTAACTTCACCGAACGTGTGGGCAAGCTCACGGGGCTCAGCCTTGAAGACTTTGCTAATATCCGCCCTAGCGATCTACCACCGGATGGTAATCGCGACCTACTGAGAAAACCCGGCGAGAAACCCAGTGAGCTGGATCTGTAGGTTAAGTTGCACGACTAACCCTTTTTCGCATTCGAGGGAATCGCCAGACACAGTTTCCGGTACTTGAAATGCCTAAAAGGACCGATATTTGATCAGGAGGATCTGAAATGACGCTTACGATTTTCAAAAACTGTAGATATGTAATTGTTACATCAAAAAATGATTGTAAATATTTCAAACTACTGTATAGTGATTAAAGACAAAAAAAAAATACAATTGTTATGGAACATGTATGTCATAAAAAAATAAATCCTAATAAATGATGAGCCCAATGTTGATGAGCCACTATTCCGGAATATTACAAAATTAGAAAAAAAAAAATTACATACCTTAAATCATTGTAGTGTGATACCAAAGTCGCTGTGATGTAACCGCGCCAATGTCGAATTAAATAATCTTCACTTTAAATTTTATTATTCAGTTCACTTCACTAAATTACAGTTTTGATCAATGAACTTTTACTCAAGTGTTCTGATGAAGTTAGGCACTTTGAACGCACACTTTTAAAGTCAATCAGTCTGAAATGTACATAAATCTTTGGCCGCACCTGTAAAAGAAAAATCATTTTGAAGCTCCAAGTTAAAACCTGTGTAAGAGTTTATTGACACTTTAATAAATCTATCAAGCCTTTTTTATCCTCTACATATACCAACTTTTATGGAACATTATATCGTCTCGGTCAATATTGGAATAAATCTTTAAGTCTCCGTAGTGAAAATGATTTATTTGACGCAAAAGAAATAAATACAGTGGTGGATTAGATTTTAAAATTGACTGAAGTGGATCACGGACTGTACTATTTCGTTATTTATCAATCACCCTTGAATCTTTTTTCAAAACTATTACGTATTCACTTAAGTTTTTTTTTTAAATCCACAAACTGAAAAAAGATGCGTGTTCTAGTAATAATAATAATAATAATAAAAATCATTTATTGCCTTTCACATCAAATAAAATAAAATGAAATACAAATAAAAGAAAAGAAAAAAAAAGAGAAAAAGGCAAAAGGAGGTGGCTCAGCTATTGCTGTTCAAGGTTGATAAATCGAACAGCGCTGATTTTCAGTCACCCCCGTTTTCCGTTGGTTCTTTGCGGGAATGAAGGCTAGGTACGTGTGTACAATAGGTATAAATTAGTAAATTATAAAAATTTCACAAAAATGAAATTAAATGATGAGCCCGAATACAAAACATAATAAGCACACAGTAATAACAACCTGTGTGCAGCCTACAACGAAACAACAAATAAAATAAAATAAAGCACGATAATACTATTACTAATACTGGCAAGCAGCACAACATTTACACTTGTACATTAAAAAAAAACTAATAAAAGGAAGTTTTCACAAGCAAGGATTAAACTAGTAGTTACTATTAATACTATAAATACTATACAAAGTTTTTTTTTAAAATCCATAAACTGAAAAAATATGCGTGTTCTAGTACCAACACTTTTATTGTTGTTAGTATATTGTTCTACCATTAAGCAGTTAGAAATAGATCACCGCCCAACCGTCATTGGGAACCTATTTTTATCACTCACTCTGTTCATTCAACGACAATCAATCTTTTTTTTTATAGCTAACATGGGTGGATTGTGCCCTTAACTTGGTCCTGAATATTTTTTTGGCAAAAACTGTTACAAATAAACGTTCATAATCATAAGATGAAATATAAAATACGAGTTTAGTAAATTTTTTGTTTTCATATTTTTTTATTTAGTTTATTTTATTTTAATTGTCAGATTTTATTATTAAGTTTTAGTTTTAGTTTAGTTATTAAGATTTTATTATTATTATTAGATTTTATTATTAAGTTTAATATATCTATATTAATATATAAATCCACAGTGGTTTTTACGGATGTTCCGCTATAATTACTGAACCATGCATCCGATTGACTTGAAACTTGGTGCCCATGTAGAAAATACATATACTTAATGGATAGGTTAATATTTATATGAGTGTTGGACTCCCTACACCAGTTGCGGGGGCGTTAATGATGAGAATCTTTGTGGGGTGAAAAATAATAATTTTAATTTTAATTGCCCAGCGAAGCGGACGGGTACAGCTAATATTATAATATATGTACTATATGTATCTGTAAAATAAATATTATTAGGCGGGACCTATTCCGAATTTTGTGAATCAATCTTCCTTTAACTAACTACCAAACATAATACGGAAAATTGTGGTTTCATCTTTTGTTATCTTCGTACTAATAATCTAGTTTCTGTTTGTTAGACTCTCATTTTATAATATCAACAGCTATTACTGTTAATGAATAAAGTTACCGTAATTAAAAAATATAATATACCAAATCTGGAGTGCATCGTAATTTAAAATAGAAGCAAACTTTTGCACGTTGCGTCACATAAGCGTACAATTCTAGAAATACATTAGATCGAAGCGAATAGCACTAATAGAAAGTATATCTTAAGTGCACACGCGTACATCTACGATAGCCCAAATTGATCAGTTTTATTGCGAACGATAAACAATATTACAGTAGGGAACCGGTGTTTATCGTTCGGTCACTGCGGACGTGACTAAGCCAGAATTCTAAGATATAGCCCCGGCTCTGCAATCACATCCCGGTCTGCACTATCATCAGCCACAAAAGGATAGCCACTTTACGTAATAGCCTCACAATAACACATAAGAATTTGAGACTTTTTTTTTGCCATCAATCTTATTTGCGCAAAAAGTCGGCAGGTCCAGACGTATGATTTATCTATTTGAATATTAGTGATACAGTCGTTCACTTTATAGGCCACATAGTAACAGATTATTGTATTACAAAGTATTTTCAGTACATTGATCATCTTATATTAAGTAAGGTATGTATGTACATAGCATTCATTCGGGTGACATGTTAACGTCATATAATTTAAAATGCCTTATAGTCATAAAATGTATAGTTAGATACAGCAATAATTTTCATTAAAATGATATTTATCTATACTACTTTTTAAGCGGTAGGCAGCGGCTTAGCTCTACCCACGGCATTGCTGAAGTCCATAGGCGACGGTAACCACTCACCATCAGGTGGGCCGTGTGCTCGCCTGCCTACAAGGGCAATAAAAAAAAATAAAAAAAAAATTATTGAAATATAAATAATATAAGAATTTAAAGATTTTTATACAAAGAAAAGTATAAGTACTCGTAGCTTAATAGATAAATGGCTACATTTAGACCTTAAACGAACTGTCAATAATATTCGTTGGGACTTATTTATAATCTATCACACCGAATGATATGTGCATTTTTAAAAGATGAAATGAACAAAAAATAATAATTGTATAACTTCGGTTGCAAATGAAAAGACTGCAAGGAAAATCTAATTAGCAGTTTCAACTCACCTCTGCTTCGACCAAGCAAACATACAATTTCACGCTTAGTGGTAATTTTACGTTTGGTTCCAGTTAATATAGAGTAATATTCTTGAAGTTCTATTATTTTATATTATAATTTTACTCTTTTATTTTCTTAGTACAATATCATTATAATATTAATCGGATCGTGTTCAATGACAAAAATTGTTTATTCTTTAGATATGGTGATACATAGTTTTTAACGAAGTGCAAATTTTAATTAAACTATATATGTGTTATTATAACTACTAGAGGTCCCGTAGCAATCGAAATTCGACTATAATTAATTGGAATTGTAAGTTTGTACACTATTATGATTGTATTTTATACTTCTATAATCACAAATTTCGCCAAGACTACACACTATACAAAATTTTAACAAAGACAAACAATATTTAATCTATTCTCAATTTGACAACAGACGTCAAGAACAAAAGTTTGACAATAAATAGTATGCATGCGTGTGTGCGTCAAATACATGGTATGTAGTGTGTGTAATATTTTCTTTATTGATTTAATGTATCTTTTATGCATTATTTTAAAAAAATATTAGCATTGTGCACTTCTTCTCTATATTCTCTATAAGTGTGGAAAATTCCATACTCCTCCGTCCGCGCAATTTTCGTAAAAAGGGATACAAAGTTTTTGCTTCACGTATTAATATATAGATTGCTAAAAATCAATTAGCGTACTTCCAAAACTATAGTTTTAGATTATAAACAGTATTTGAGGTCAGAGGATCCTACAATGATAACGCAATCAATCTGGCTGGACATCAAAGGACCGGGTTAAGCAAACCGACCACCTCTATCTACTACTAATAAATTCCGTCATCTCCCACGTAATAAAATTACTCTCTTTTTAATAATCTTCCCCTTCGAAAATAAGAGCTAGTAAAACTCTATTTTAACTATTCGTGGGGGAATTTGAAAGCCAGTACAAGTTAGCACAACCATTCCACCTATTTTAACCGCAAACAATTTAGCTTCTCTTCTGAAGAGTAGCATAGACACCTTCTTCTTCCACATTACTGTTTACTTAACTCGGGCGATCTTAATTCCTAATTTTATATCATAGTTTATTATAACCATTAAAGAACAGACGGATTATGGGCGCGTCTTCCCATCAAGTGTCAAACAAAAATATATTTGAGGGCATTCTATAGCATATCATTTTAGTCAGGTCACGTCATATTCACGAAAGACAAGTGGATCGAGGGACAATTTCCTAACTAGCTCCGCTGCAGTCCTGGAGCAATTACACGGAATGGGGAAACTGCATCTGTTGGATTAACAAATTGTACTGACTGCCAGCGTCTCTCAAATGGAATGACAATTCGGTGACTACTACTTTCCTAGACCCGTGCAACTGACAAAGGTTACGATTCTCTCATTTCGATACTTATATACTTATATACTTCGATACTTGTATGTGAAATTCCAAATAAAAAAACCTATATTATATTATACATATTTTTACGGAACCTTATATACATAATAAGAATTATTACCATCGAAAACACTAAGTTCAATTAAATATTTTAATGTAACTTCTTAATTACATTTCAAAATTTTATCTGAACGTTTTACGTTGACGTTTTATTGATTCACACAGTTCTCGAGCTTACATAAAGTATCAAAATTGAGTAACTTTATTAATTTAAATGCAGTATTTTCGACAACGGCAATGCTGAGAAATCTTTATTACGATTATATGATAAAATTAACAAATGAACATTCTATTTAATGAGTTTATAATCATCATCATCATCAACATCATCAGTCCACAGTCTAAGTCCAGTGCTGGACATAGGTCTCCCAACCTACACCGCTGAGAACGATGTTTGACTTTCCTCATCCATTTCTTACCGGTCACCCTTCGCTAGTCAAGTCGACTTTAAAACATTTAATGACATCTACCTGATTCTACGAAATTACTTGATCTGCTAGATTATTAATATCTTAAGAATTCGCATATTGAATTATAAATTCAAGATGAAATTCTTGTTATCATCACTCGCAGAGTAATGCGCTTCGAATAGTAAATATCCGTAGGTGTTTTATGACGTCTTACTTGATCTTATTAGATGTTTATTATAAACTCCGAGCGATATTTGCTTTTATTGTTCATTAACTCATAAACTTTAAAACGTATCTAATGAAAAACAACATCAATCTCAGAGATATTACGACTGGGTCTTAATACACTAATAGTTAGGTTTTAGATTCGGAAATTTATATTAAATGAAATTACATATTTCATTTTTGATTGATTTTTTTTTTCAAGACTACTGTAGGTACATTAAACTTACAATTCAATACATTTTTTTATTAACACTTCAAATAAATTAAAAGCTGAAATTAAGTTAGTGCGACTTAGGTGCAAATGAACAGCTTTCCAAGTTGCCTCGACGAGTTTAAATGGACAAAGAACGGTAATATGAAGCTTTATCAAATTTTCGGATTAAAGAAATACGTACCTAAGAAACATGTTAAATATCTATGCGTGCCATTAATTGGAAAGCTTTCTAATAACATGTTCCCGATATTTGTAAAATATTTTGTTTCTGTAATATGTATGCCATCAACACTTGGCATCTGTCCAGTGCTTTGGCTCTTTTCTTCGTCGTGGCAACTCCAAGGAGATAAAATAGAGCGTCACTAGGTCTCTGAAGACAGTATTAAATTATATTTCCCTATCATTCGAATTTGACGAATTCTCACAATTAATTTTAACACTTTTGTACTCATCGACGAAATACATATTTCTGGATTCAGCCATTACCCAGCATACGCATGCCTGTTTCTACTTTTAAAAAATTACACTAACTCGAGAATACTTTTCCGGGGAATTTGCCCTAAACGAAGACTCATAGAAAAATATTACTGAACTAACACCTCGTTGCTCTAACCGGGTTTCGTACTTTGGGAAACTAAAAATTTAAGCCGATCCGTGGTCAAAATTATGATCCCGATGAAATTATGAATGAAACATGCACGTGAGAGGGCGTTTGGGGCAAAGTATCGTCACGTCGCGTACCTGATGACAAGTTCGCGAACGCAGCGTTGCAGCGATGCACCAAAAGAGCGCAGGGCGACGCGAGCCGCCCGCTTGCTTCCGAACGACTGGCGCCCGGGCCGCGCCGTGCCCGCCCCTCCCGCGCCACGCACCGCCTGCACCGGCACCACGCACTGTCCGCACGACTCCACACGGCGGCCTCCCTCGCGCCTCGCTCGGCGAGCACGATGCGGCCTTACGCACCCCGCGAATATCGATGTCTTCTGTCGGGAGATGTATCGCGCGGGAAGGACTACAGCGGGGGAGCGAGCACGCACCGCGCGGCGCGGGGCGCAGTCCTGCGCGCTGCGTCACGCATCTATCTCGACGATTTCTTGCGTGCTCCCGCAGCCCGTCATCTGCAGAGCAGCGATCTACTCTTTGGACTGACTGGCCAGACGGCGTGTTGCGCGCCTTCTGTGACTTAAATAGGTAAAATGATATTGAAATTATGATTTGTTGATTTGATGAAAAAAAAACAAAAATGAATGAAATTATGAAGAAAAAGAATTATCAGCGAGCAGCGATCTACTTACTTTTTGGACTGACTGGCTAGATGGCGTGTTGCGCACTTTCTATGACTTAAATAGGTAAAATAACATAGAAATTATGATTTGTTGATTCAATGAAAAAAACAAAATTGAATGTAATTATGAAATTTACACAACAAATTTCGCTCGAGCATAAAAAGCATATTTTTATTAAAACTATTTCATAATGTTCGGTCTAATAAGACAAAAAAAATCAGTGAAAATACAGAATATTTTAAGATAAAATCAGCCATCTTAGCTTGACTGATGGTCAAGAAGTCCCAGAACAATCAAGTAAAATTTGTAAAGACGTATTACCTTAAAAATCTTTACTATAATGTATTGTATTCAATGCCATGTAATAGATTAATTAACATCAAGGTCACTATTCCATTCTATCGTAAAACGTGAGGAATTAACGGAAGTTTGAATTTGGGAAAGTTGAACAAATTGCTATTTGCTTATTTTAAACCAAAAATAATGATTTTGTTACTTGTCAGTATTCGGAAAATATAGGTCACGGCGAGAACATGTTATTTTGTCACGTTAATGTTAAAAATCGCGTATTTTACCACCAAAGGAATCAAGTAAAAAAATTAAAAAAATGCGGGGCCATTATGAGCTTCCAAAAACAATAAATGTGTTTATGCTTAACTCAGCAAATGACTATTTCTTTTTCATGCTTCTCGTTTATTATACGTTTTGATTGATAACTAAGCTTTAATTTTATTTAATGAAATCTTTATACTCGAAATATTTAACTGATCAAAGAATAGTCTGATTTATTATACTTTATTTGTATTTTTTCTCCAAAAGTCAGAAATATTATCATTCGTTCTTGTGTAGAAGAACGGCCGATATCAATCACCGTTCAAATAAATTCAAGCGAATCCTACCTAGTGCTGGTCATCATTATGTATTTACTATGGCTATGAATTTATGTATTCATATTTTGATCACCTCGTTGGTCGAATAGTAAGTGACCTTGCCCTGCACCAAGAGAGTTCGGTTTCTTTGTGAGAGATGTTTGATATTTGACGTTTCGTAAATTGTTAAGTGTGGAACGTTTGTTTTACTTTAATAAATTTAAACCATAGAATCATTATGAAGTCGTCGAGACCTAAAGGATAAGACGTCCGGTGCATTCATATCTAGTGATGCAACGGTGTTCGAATCCCGCAGGCGGGTATCAATTTTTCTAATGAAATACGTACTTCACAATATATGTTCACGATTCTTCCACGGTGAAGGAATCGTATATTAAAAATCAAACCCACAAAATTATAATTTGCGTAATTACTGGTGGTAGGACCTCTTGTGAGTCCGCACGGGTAGGTACCACCACCCTGTCTATTTCTGCCGGGAAGCAGTAATGCGTTTCGGTTTGAAGGGTGGGGCAGCCGTTGTAACTTTACTGAGACCTTAGAACTTATATCTCAAGGTGGGTGGCGCATTTAGGTTGCAGATTTCTATGGGCTTCAGTATCCACCTAGCAACCAAGTGGGCAGTGAGCTCTTCCACCCATCTAAGCAATAAAAAAAAATCCCAATAACCTTTAGCACAAAGTATTCTGAATATAAAAGTATTTTCATATATTTAAAACATAGTATCATTATTTCTTCAAAAACTTTAACACAAAATAGTCTGAATAAAAAAAATGTGTAGTTTCTATCGAATAACTTAAAAAAATGTATGACTAATGGTTTTATCGATATTGTAGTCCAAAGATATGGTGTCTGCCTCTCCTCAATCCCCTGATTGAGCATATACCAGTATTCATCTTATTTTTACAGTAAGTCACACACGTGATCCATGAAATGTTCCAAGTTATGATGGTTAAGAAGGATATCACAATCATCACTAGCTCACAAAATTTTATTTATTCAAATTTTACTGCTCAGTTACAGTAAGACAACACCAAAATAGTGAAGAATGTCATTTCAGTTTCCAAACTAACACCAGGAAGTCCGACAGAACTTGCGCCGAGATAAGTTAGCAGAATACCAAATGAAAATGAAAGAGCAAATTGTGATGCAACGTAAAACTTTGTATTGCAAACTGTAAGTTGTTTCACATTTTATGCCAAACAAAAACATTTGAAATTTTTAAGGCTCGATCCAAAGCTCATTTGGATTTCGAAATCAAGTCTTTCGGGGTATTTAGTTTTTATTTTTATTTTGGTGTTTTTGATGCATTTGGTGCAACAAATGGCAGCGGCGGCCCTTTGAACTGTAAGGTTAATTGAACGATTCTTTCAGCTTCTCTTATTCCACTGAGTCTGGCGCCCGATACAGTAGCATAGTGACCAGGTACGGTTGCTTCTCCGGCGAATAAAAGAATTGGGGGAACCGGCTCACTTGGTCCTGGAAGTGGACATGCCAAAGCTCGTTGTGCTTGACCATCAGAAGATGTATTTTCGTAAGAGTAAGCTCCGCAAAAGAAGGGATCTGATGTCCAATGTGACCTCAAAATAGTCACTGGATAAGGTATACAGTCGTTCCCTGTGGAGTATCGTAGAACATCAGTGACCCCTTCTGCCACGTCTTTATCACAAAGACCCTCCATCATCATTGCTTCTTGGCCTACGACCCAAACGCACAATACGTGTTTACTGTTCGGCACAACTTCTATAGCTGTTATACCTCGTGTCCAGTCGCAACGATAACACAATTCCTTACAACAGTATTTAAAGTTTAGGTTTCCCTTGTGCCAAAACCAAAATGGACGACAATATTCCATGTAGATTTTATTGCAGTACCCGAATCCCAGACAACGCATCGCATCTATTTTAGATGCAGGTAAAGCAGGACAGAACAGTCTATTTGAGTTTGAAAAAAGAACGCCCAAGGAAACAGTAATAATTACGTAATCGGCAGGAAATTCTTCTCCATCGGTTGTGTAAACGGTGGCTCTGAATCCAGATTTTTGTGATGTACCCCAATAAATACAATTTACTGGTTTGCAATATCTAATCGCTCCTTCTGGTATTTGACGTAAAATTGGAGCGAGAATTCCGACCAAACCTAACGGCACCCGAACTTCTCCACCGGGCATATTCATGAAGCAACCCAAATGATCGGCGCACAACATTGCTGTATCATCGCCACATCTCGCGTTAAGCATGTGGGCGAGGCCAAACATTATTCGAGCCGCGTCATGCTGCTGATCGTCGGGATACTCATGCAATTCTTGCTGAATTCTCAAACTCATAAAATTAATGAGAGACCCTTGTTGTTTATTCCCGCCAAGGCAGTAAATGCTCGCTGCTTCTTGTTCTATTTGTCGAAATTTATAATAAGAAGTCACAGTAGGCGGATACGCCATTTTACCGGTAACGATGCGATTGAATAAGCCTCGAGTGTGCTCCGTGCCAGGGACTCCGGCTCGAGGAGGGCTTTCAGTAGCGGACATCATATAAATTGGATGAGTGCAACAATTATCCGGTTTCCAGTGCGATCCAAGTTCAGCAACAATATCTCCAATCCAACACGAATGGATACGGCCTCCGGGCCTAGAAAGCATTATAGTTTCAATTATTGTGATTAAATACCAATGATATATGTATGTGTTTATTAACTTGCAATTTTGATAGTCGTATCTGATAGTCGTTGATAGTCGTGGTTAACTGTGTGCCTCACAATGAAAAGGATGCAGGTTCTAAGCTGCTTTGTTGTGGGCTTCATGTGAAGTGCGTTCATAAGTGCATAACGTGGGACCACAGTACGGATTAGACGCGGCTGAAGCGGCGGGCGAGATGCAGAGCGTACGCATTGTCATAATGCGCCACAAGCGTTTAGATGAATTCCAGGTATTGCAAACGGTGGACTAGGTTCTTTATATTTATCATGAGATATAATTTACACTTAAAAAAAATCTGCCAATTCTACTATTAACTTATCACCACTGCATGACTGACTTAGATTCAATTGATCTAATATATTCGTTAAAATTTACCATCGTAATACAACAAATTCTTAGCATAAGTCAAATGACAAAATCGACCTGGTTAAATACACCTGCCAACCGCGCATTCGTTCGCTTGTTGCCTAGACTCGTCCTGTGGCCGCAACGCGCTATTAAGAACTTTTTAAAACAAGGAACATCAACCCGCTTAAGTCTATCACTTTAAATGCCCAACTAAATAAATACACTATGAACACGAACGGCATTATAGGAATTATATTTCGCGCGTACTGAGGACCCAGCCTTTAAGTTGAGAACTACTCGGTACTCCGCAACTATGTATAACTAATACTAATACTATAAAAACTGAGACTTAGAAGTTCTATTTCAAGGTGGGTGGCAGCATTTAGGTTTTTGATATTTATTAGCTCCGGAACCACGTAATAGTGTGAGGGGTTAGCTCGTTTACTCAACTAAGCAATAAAAGGAAATTATATTGATATTATTGATAGTATACGCGACGATTGTATTCATATTGCAACCTTATCTATTTCTGCTTGAAATTATCCGTGCATTTCCCATTCAATTGATACTTCAATCTAATATCTCAAAGCGATTAGTTCGCGCCCGTTCGTTATGTGCCGTATACATAAGCAAATATTTACTGGCACTTATAACCAGTATTTTTTAAAATAAATATTTACCTTTCGTATGCTTCAAGCACGACAATGTTGTTGATGCCTCGTTGAGAGAGCCTCGCGGCAGCTGAAAGCCCAGCCATGCCAGCACCTACGATAACCACTCGTGGTTCTGGGTAACATTTCTCTGGGTCGCAAGCCTGCACTGCGCAAATCCCTCTATCGTCCAAATTCGGCCCACACTCTACTATCGCCGAACTTTCTGAATACCTTAGATAAGATTTGAAAATTTTAGTTAAATATTTATGAATGAAATTCAAATTTCTATGTCATGTTTCTGAGGTAACTCACAACCGCCGTATTGTTTTTGGACATTTTCGTAGAAATTTACAAATAACTCTTCCTAGTTTCATATGTAAACTATATTTATCACGGTAAAATTTCGAAAAAAAAAACTCTGATATGTTTTTAGTTAGAACTATTGTTATATTGTCACAATATGAAGTGTCAAAATGCAAGTGTCTTTCTTCACAGAGCATAATTCTTGAAAACTACGTCAAATGATGGAAAAAGGACTTAGGTATGTTACAGTTGATATCGTGTATTTACTGATAGCTCCTGTTTGGAGGGGTGCAGTCTTCGATTGATGAAATTAGATTTATTTAACTATTTGGAAATTCAAATATATCTAGACATTGAATTATTTCAATTTTACATCACAATCACCTGAGATCCAAACGAATTGGATTAACAGAAATCTAGAAATCATAAAATATGAAACCAATTGAGATTAGTTTATCAGCTAACCAACAACAACTATCCTTTTATTTTTTTTATTGACTAAATTTTCTGCATCGCGGTATGCATTTGGAAAAAATAACGTCAAGAGTTTCTTTACGATTATTTTCAGTAACACCACAACACTATAGCATTCTAAATCGATAGTAAAGTTTAAATTTAAAAGCACCCGTAATTTACAGGCCATAAAGGCTTAATTGTTTAAAGCATTATTAAAATCGCTTTTACGATTTTACGTAAACTGCTCGAATATTCCAGTTCCACTTTAGTGGACGCGAAGCCACGAACGACGGTCGTCGAGAACTGTATAGTATTCGAGGCGTCGGAAATGATATAATAATAAAAAATGCTAGATTAAACCGTAAAAGTAGTTTTAATTATAATTACGACCCACAAAACAGAACAAAATTAATAAAACATTTTAATTTCTTTTGTGCCGTAACTCCTTTTGTAATATAACTAGCCGTACTCGCCCGCTTCGCTGGGCATTTAAAATTAACATTATTATCTATTGTTATTATAATTCGGGAGTCCAACACTCATATTAATATTAGCCTATCCATTAAGTACATGTATTTTCTACATGGATACCAAGTTTCAAGTCAATCGGATGCACGGTTCAGTAGTTATAACGGAACATCCGTAAATCCACTGTAGATTTATATATTAGTATAGATTATCTGACAAGATTATAAACTGTCATAGATATAGACCCTGTTTAATTCTGTTCTCTTGATTGTGGAGACGTAATGTACATTATTAGCTTGAGGCATTACATTGAGGTCTTAATGCGTTGGAGTAACTTTACTACCTACCCTTTATAATAAAGAATACGTACTCGTAATCTCTGCAGATATGTATATGGAAAAATTTGATGCAGACTTGTAGAAAAATAAAATTAAATACGAATTACTAAAACGTTGGTTGGGTAATCATCGGGAAAGCGGGCTATACTATCAAGCAGACAGCTATACTAATTAACAAAGCAGAATTGTTCGGAAGCGTTGCGGCGCCATTTAATTCTTTGTTTGTTTTGCTTCTCTAATTAGGGGCAGAGTTCAAGTTAGATTTCTTTCATGAATCTGGAATTTATTGTTTACAAGTACTTACGTAGCGACTTTTAATCTTAAGATTTCTTATTTTTATTGTAGATTGTTGATAGTTATTTTAGCGTAAGGATATTTTTTTATACTTGGTGTTAAGTGGTTACCGGAGCCCATAGACATCTACAACGTAAATGCCGCCACCCACCTGAGTTCTAAGGTTTCCGTATAGTTACAACGGCTGCCCCACCCTCTAAACCGAAACGCGTTACGGCAGAAATAGGCAGCGTGGTGATACCTACCCGTGCCGATTCACAAGACGTCCTACCACCATTACTTTAGGCAACTTAATATTCGAGTGACCGTAGATGATTAGCCCGGTTTTAGGGAACTGAATATGTCGCAGTACATTGCTGATGGAGCACGGTTGCTTTGCGAGGTATTTACGCTAGATCGGAGCTGGGGCAAAAGCATAGCCCCGTCACTGAAAATACGAATTGGAGATGGTGATGCATATGCTCGCGGACGGCCTCACACACGGGGGGTCAATTTATGCCGCTTACTATTCTTCGCCTGTCTCCTGAAAAGCAGAGATTTTCTCAGAACCCAATAATAAAAGTATCTCAATTCCTAGTTACGGTCTTGTTCTTTTTTGAACAAACATAACTCACATTCTACATTAATCGATGTGATTATCGTAGCGCATAGACGTCAGTCACTACACAGAAGCCGTCACTCACTTATGGCGGGGCGGGGATCTAAATTTAAGAAAAGAATTAAATCAAACATTTACTATTTGATGAATAATTTTCTTTCGTTTGATGTTTGTCATCGCTATCTTATCTTATTTATTTATTTATTTAACGATTTTCATAAAATTTAGTATACAAGGGATTTCGGGGGCGATAAATCGATCTAGTTACGATTTATTTTCAGAAAATGTTTTATTCGTGTTTTCAATAATCAACTCTTCCCGACATTTTTTTTTTTTTATGATTGAAGGATTACTGGTGGCCCGGAGGCCTTTCCAGTTTCACCAGGACAGGTGGGCGAGCAAAGGCTTAGCCAGGAGGGGCGGGATTTGCTAACAGCTACCCGAGCGCCTTCGAAGGAGACCTAACAGCTCAAGAGTAGCTGCTTCGCGAATGAATCTACTACCGGATCGGAATCGCGACCCGCTGAGAAGATCCGGCGAGAAACTCAGCGAGCTGATTCATGGGTTAGGTTGCACGGCGAACTCTTTGTCGAGTTCGACGAGTACGGTTACCAAGGTCCCTAAGCCTGCTCGTAGTGTTAGAGCTGAAGGCGTCTAATGCAAAGGTTATTGGATCTGATGGATCCGTAAGGACGTGTGGCTTCCCGACATCTATTGGCGAATAATAATACTATTTTTCTTAATTGAGGGCAACTAACCGCTTTAAAGACACAACAAGATGGCGTTATCAAAAAACAAAAAAAAACCGTCATCATCTAGTTCATAATTAAACCCACACTAGGGATACTCTCTGTTAGTAGCTTATTAGATAATTATTTTTCAAAATCAAATAAGTTACTTTTTTCGTTATCGGCGAAATATAAAAGAAATCGAGACCGCTTTTGTTACGAATCCTCATTTTACCGAATAGTGCCCTAAAAGACTTTTTAAAAATAACTTTATCCACTGTAACAGGCTATCCAATGATAAAAATAAAACAACAAACAAGAATATAAATAGCAATTTATTACGTTAACATCGACTTGTTCACAATCAATTTAGATACACTATGATACAATTTAAGCTAAGACTTCACAAACATTCACAACACACATAAAATACTATTCGTATTAAGCTAACATTATAATTTGAAGCACTCTGACCAGAAGCGATCCAACGTGTGGTAGAAATGTCGACTCACTCCCATCAAGGAATGATTCTCGTCCGTATAACTCTGTTAAAGAGAAAATTCGCAAGTGTAGTTCAATTGTAACGAAATATTTTTTTAAGTTTTAAGTGATTATGTAGGTATTAGGTAGATTAATACTAGTTTACATCTCAATGGTATCGCAATATGATTGTCTAGACTAGTGAGCAACCTTGTCAACCAAAAAAGCCAAATATAGATAACGCAAAATTTAAATTTATGAAAAGAGTTATTTTTTTAACATACTCAAATATTTTTATAGCCTTGCGTTTCAAAAATGTATATTCGTTCTTACAAGGCAAGATAATAAGTAATATTCCGTGCCTGAATGAATCTTAATATTAGACCGATATGTATGGAATAGCCTCGTACGCTACCAACAAATAGGTAGGAAATAAAATCTATTAACCAATTATAATGTATTTTTGAACTGTTATTTTCATGTTTATATTAAAAAACAACTTCAAAATTGACATCTCCCTCCAAATATCTGAATAGGATTGAGTGGGATCATAACAAAATGAATCGGTCGCACAGAATAAATGACTGAACAATTTACAGTGTCGACATCTTATAGGTCACTCGAGAGAGTTCCAATAAAGTTATTTATGACTAAATTTCCTTCAGACTGCGGTCGGATCTATCGAAACGATTGCTATTCAACGTGAAAAATTACGTCAAACGATACGGACATTTTTCTTGGTCATCTGCGACTGTCTAAATCGTTCGACTAGTTTCACGCAATAAAATCTCGATATTGCAAAGCTCATTCTCAATTCTTGTTAATACGCAAAAAAAACAGTGGTCTACTGATGGGAATAAAACCTAGAATTTGGCTTTATTTTATATGAAAACGGTAAATAATGTATCCAGGTATCGAACTTGTTTTGTTTTTTTAATTTTTATAATGTGATTCGTTATTAGAGCTATAAAACTCGAGTATTTTCAAAGATTCTAATGCAATTGTTTCATTACAGCGTCTTGTTGTAATGAAACAATTGCATTGAATGACTGAATTGAATGAATATTTAAAAAACTTTGCTATACTTTAACAAGAGGCGGCCGTTTGAATTTTCATTTTATAATTTTGACTTGTTTTTATTTGCATGTCGACGCTTGAAAGGCAAACGTGACTAAGCGACAATAACTGCTTTTTACATAAATGATAGGCAATAACCATATTCGATGCGGAAAAAAAAAAGAATTCTAGGTATATTAAAATCATTTCAATCCTACAGCTAGATTCGTTAAAATAGAATTTTTTTCAACTTTAAATTAGTCTACTGTAAAGTTCACGCATTGTCGCTTAGTCACGTTTGCCTTTCAAGCGTCGATGTGCATATTATTATTATATGCGGTCATATTAACACCATCCGTTTAGAAAGTAAAATAAAATACACAACTAAATTAGATGGGACACAATAAGATCTCAACGCATACTGCAAAATGTAGCGCCATTTCTAATTACTACTGATACCAATATTGGACCAATTCAAAGTTTGTCCCGTAACGTATCGACACCAATATCTGGCATATTGAAGGTGCGCCCCGTATTTATCCCCGTATCTATTTCAGAAGCGAAGCCGTTGAAAACGTTTCAGTTTGAAGAGTAGGACTAATATAAACAATAAAATGGTTTACTCCGACCTGTTTCGTGGCGAGTGACGGTATTTACATTGTGGTAACTAAGGACTTCACAAGCCATTTCTAGGCAGTCAAAAGACTTCTAATATGATGCTATGTCCAAAACTGTCAAAAGCCTTACTTACCATTTGCTCGAAGGCAATATCGCTATGCTGCAATCGCTTGGCGAGTTGCATGCTGTGCTGGTAATGCACATTGTCGTCACCGCTCCCGTGAACCAGCAAATATTTGCGTCCTCGCAATCCTTCAGCTAGATTAGTTAGGTCAGATCGTTCGTAGCCCAAAGGGTTCGCTTGAGGCGTATCCATATAACGTTCCGTGTATATTGAATCTAAAAAAATAAGATATCGTAATTATTTCAATCATTTTTTTTAAATTTCGTCATTTGTGTTCAAACAAATATTAAACGTGAAATGAAACCGTAAACTGTTTTTTTAATCATTTACGACTCGTAGAGAACATTTTATGAGTACCCAATTTTTTAAAATAATCGAATTAGCTATTCATCAAATTCCAACTAAATTTGATTTAATTGATAACTCCAATTAATTTAATTTGATTAAAAATTATCAAATCATTAATTAATAACTCTAATATAATTAACTCTAATATAATTAATTAAAAACTCTACTTAATACTCTAAAATCGAACTCACAAATCCAAAAAGGTTTTACTGTTGGCCAAAAGATAAAACTCACTTCCATATTTAAAAAAAAACCGGAATAAAGAGCTGATAAGGTGTTCTATGTCAGTGCCGGTCACCTAAGTTTTTCTTCCTCTTTATCGCGATCGTTAAATGAGGATGATACTTTCAGTGTATTTCTTCACTGACCTTCGAAGTGTATATATGTATGTATATATGTAGAAAACAAGCGGACTGGTAAAGGCGTACAACAAGCACCTAGATTGTAAAAATATATTCACCGTAATAGAGCCATGAGGTAACGGGGGCGACAGCGGCCCCACATTTCACAATGTTCCGTTGATCCTGAATCAACATCATTGTGGTGGCATAGCCACCGTAACTCCAGCCCCACACTCCTATCCGGTCAGGGTCGATGAAAGAATACAAACTCGTTAAACTCCTGTAACATTGCATTAATTAATATCAACATCCTCAAATGGCGTGCGGTGCGATGATAAAAAGGTGATGACGGGACATTTTAAACAATTCCTCCATCTTCATCGTGACGTAGATTCCATATATGAGTATAAAGTATAATAAAACTTCCTATCGATTTTATATGTACATTTTTTTATGATCGACAAACTATAATGTGTTGTGATAAGGATATTGGTGTTTTTAAAATCGTAAGAAATGCATATAAACGTAAGCTTGTTTATTAGTAGCGTCGGAAACTGAAGTATTCAAGGAACCCAAAACATTTAGTTTATAACGTGTATTGATATCAGTAATCGTATGCGAAATCACAAACATAGGAATTGCTTGTGTGGCGGGGGATCTACCTGTACAGTCTCACATTTCACCGTATTACCACAAAATATCTTGACATAAAATAATCCATAAAATATCTAAGCCTCGCGATTCAAAACCTATTCTAATTGTGTAATACCGTAAAAGCTCTTTGTCGCGAATACAGAAATCGTGAATATGGAAAAGCACGTTTACAAAGGATATTCGGTTAGATTCCTACATATTGGAATCCTTTTATCAATGTGTATATACCGATGCATCCATTGGATCCGCGAATAAAGAAATCTTTAACCACGAACATTGGAATTAGGCAGCATTTTTTTAATCCGCGTTTAGTGGAAACGCGAACGAAGAAAGCGCGAATAAAGAGCTTTTGCTGTATATAAAATAATCCAACTAATTTATTCACGTACTTGATGGTATCCAAAGTGTCAGATATTTCGACAGTTCCCAAAGCTCTATTGACTGCATGCATGGCTTCCACGCCCATCACTCCAGAACCTCGTACGTCGATCGAGGCCACTATTATACTCCTGTTTGTAGCCAGGTACGAGTTGTAATATTCTGAAATCATTACCATTCTTAAATCATTATCAGACATCAAATGGACAGGCCCAAACACCAATCACTCAGGTTTGAAGTTCCAAATTGCGATTGGAATGCATAATTGTCTCGACGGCACATATAAGAAGGATAGCAGAGAGATGGCCAACAGAGATTTAAACATCAGCAATTCCAAATAATTTTATGATGTTACTAAAATTGAGTATACTGAGCCAATGACATCATCTGCGCATTATCAAGTCTCTAATTTCTAAGATATTTCTGTGAGTAGTTTACCTAGATCGTAGTTATCGCGAACTCGGGTTGTCCCGGGACCAGCGTACACTCTGACCACCATTGCATACTGTTCTCCTTGCTTTATCCCAGCTGGAAGAATGAGTTTCACGTTTGCATTCACTTCGTTTCCTATTGACATTGCGATGAAATGGGTAAGAGGTAGTTGGTACATTTGTAGGGTATCAATGAGTTTTTTGTTGTCTTTTATCAATTTGAATGTCTCTTTCTGGAACATAAACAACATTAGTTAGTCAAACATGAATATCGATTAGTTGTTCATTTCAGAGCAATCAAATACAAAGACAAGGGTGGAATTTTCATTTTAAATCACGAACACATAATATTAATCTAGCCTTTCCTTATAACTAAATAAAAAGTTGAGAATTAATAATATAAAAAATCTACCTTGGCATCATACAGGTATATTTTAGGAGGGATGTTGCAGGCGCTACACGTTACTATGGCGTAGTTGGCTCCCGGTGAAAACATGGCCGACACGTGCCTACAAGTCGGTTCTTTGCACGAGATACATCTAACCACACCGCCGGAAGTTGCCCATATTTGCCTTAGCCATGGTAAATTTCCAGGAGCTACTATGTAATACACCGTATTGGTATCTTGATTCCAGCCAACAATTTCCAATACCGTAGAGTTACCGGGACTTAGGTCTTCAGTTGTTAAAGTATTGAAATCGACCCTTGCGGCGTGCGGGAAACGACGTTCAGCATGATACAAAGGCTGTATCTCCACCATTTTAGTTCCAGTTTTGTCGAAAATTGGGTCGTTAATGTCGATCCAACCGTTTGGTTCCGTGTGTTCTTTCACTATGCTACATTTGTCTTTTTGCAAGTCACAATTGATCAGGATACTAATACTTTGTCGTCTGTTCAGCCAGAGAACAATTAAATTTTGGTCGGAAGCCCAGTTTACACGACCGAGGATGTTGTCGAGTCCAATCACATCGACCGGTGCAGGTATACTCCAAGGCTCACTATTGGGCTCGTCCAGTTTGTAGACGCGTAAACCCACTCTCGGATTTGTCCGACCTACCTGACAATAAAAATAATAATGAACCTCATAATACAGAAGTAAACAAGAATACAAATTAGAGAATTTATTTCAAACAAACGCAAAGTGGTTATTGCTTTATTGAATTTACCAACCTTAGGATATTTAAACTGCACCATTTGTGGGTACTGGTTGTTTATGTTTCCAGGATCTCCGTAATAAGGGAATACGGCCGATTCAACGTCAGTATCATTGAAGGAAGCAACAGCGAGGTAAGTACCTCCCGGAGAAAACCATAATGCTTCTGCTGCATTAAATATCTCCTCTGAAAAGCAAACAAAGGTTTTAGCATCATTTAATTGCCTTTGTTTATTTAATATTTTCAATTTGAAAACTAAATTTATTCAATAAGAAACCAAAGATAAAATTTTCTTTAGAGATGAGTTTTTCGCCTTCGTTTATTTTATTTCAATTTGAAAACTAAATTTATTCAATATGAAACCAAAGATAAAATATTTTTTAGAGATGTGTTACATGCAAAAAATTTAAAATTTATTTTATATTTAACTATGTTATTTAATCTTTAAATAGTTATTTAACCCGCTTCGCCATCTTATTTAAACAGGTTTTCCAGAGCTGCATTCAGTTTATGCTAATTAATTAAATTATCATATCAACCTTCGTAAATCCAGTCAGTAGCACCGAAATAAACTTCGCCGGGCACTCCTCCTGTGGTGAGGGCACCAACGTAATCTGCTTGGGTAATGTCAGGTACGTAGTATACATTGTTATCTTGGACGTAGGCTACAGATTTCCCAATACCCCAAACCACGACTTGTAGCGCATAATCGCTTAGCTTGTAAATTAATCTGTGAAAGTAATAAGGCCGGTTTTAAATTAGCAAGCCACTTCTACTTTTCCCAATATTCATTCATAGAGTTCATTCTTCTTTTTAACTGTGCACTTATTTCTATTCTATATGCGCATATGAATATAACTATGAGGACTTTTTTTTATTGCACACGCGCTGTTTCACGGCAGAAATTCGCAGGATGGTACAGCAAGATAATGGTTGCCTGCCTATTTCTGCTGTGAAGCAGTAATGCGTTTCGGTTTGAAGGGTGGGGCAGCTGTTGTAACTATACTTGAGACCTTAGAACTTAAATCACTCAAGGTGAGTGGCGGATTTACGTTGTAGATCTCTATGGGCTCCAGTTACTGGAGGGGTTACCACTTAACACCAGGAGGGCTGTGAGCTCGTCCAACCATATAAGCAATAAAAAAAAAAAATGCGTATGAGCTCTCAGGACGCCCTACCAGTAATTACGCAAATTATTATTTTTGCCGGTTTGATATTATTACACAATGTTATTGATTATTACACGACCGTGAAGGTAAATCGTGAGCATTTGTTAAGTATGTATTATATTAGAAAAATTAATAACTGTCTGCGGGGTACGAGCACCAGAACAGTAGCATCAATTGATACGAATGTACCGGGAATATTATCTTTTAGGCGACGACGACTATATACGTGAGCACCAAGCCGTTTCCCCAATTGCATACATTCCGCATGAAATGCAATAGATATTGCAGGTTTGAAGAGCGTGATACCAATTCCATTAGGACACAATCACTCAAGGTCCGTGGCGTTCGCGCTAAGGACCAAATAAGGAATACCGGCTTGATGTGAAGCATGTCATTACCTCATCTTAGTAGATGAGGTAACGACTAAGGCTAGTGCCTTGCCTACCTCGCTTATTAAAAAAAAAAATTAAAAAAAAACTCGCCTCTTACGTACAAAACGACAATCGCCAAAGTAAGAGTCAACCCCTTCATCACTACACCAAAGAGTATTTTTTAAACAAAACCAGTAAAGTTACTTACCTCTTTTCAATATCTAGCACGGAATACTCCGCAAGGAATGAATATCTGTATATCTGTAAGAGAAAACGACCATTATAACTTTTGTACCGTCTATTGAAACAAAGGTTTTTTTGAAAAACTAAAACAATTGTTTTTCAAACTGCTTGTTCTTTGTTGTTAATAATTTTATTCACAAAAACGCGTCTCGGCAAACCAGACTTGTATATATCTTTCAATTTGTTATCAATTGTACGACACGGCATCAGAATAACCAGACCATTAAGAATGGAAATAAATTCAAAAGACCTAAACTCATATTAGGCTTACTTAGGGATTGCCTATGGGTTTCATTTAATAGCACTACCATTCTGTACATATTGGCCGCGAAATAATCATTCGTTGTAGTTCGGATACAGATTTTTACCTCCATTCTTTTTCTACTTAAACGTATCTTAGGTCGAGAGGCCCCCGCGTGCCCTAAAACAAAACTGAAGCCAACGCAGGGTCATGGACACGGATCGAGCAGAGTCCACAGCGCAATATAAATTGGCTTAATTGAATTGCCCCAACTACCTGACATCGATACACCGACCAATTCCTTTATGATATTATTCAATTTAGATTTACAATTCGAACGAAGTACTATGAGGTTTCTAAATTAAATAACAAAAAATATTCATAGCCATTTCAAAAAAATCCGTCAAAATTAAAAAAAAATATTTAAGACCGCAGTTGAGCTCATGATACACATATTTTCTTATAAGTAGATATTTTTTTAGACCATAGCTGGAACACATTATTATGTCGTGCCAGAAATGGGCACAATGGTACTACGAAGAAAACTTGCAACAAACTTGTAATTTTGAAACTTATAAACTTAGTTTATTTTTTCAATAGTCCAAAATGTAACCACGTTCGATTTCATTATTTACGAATATTCCAGCTTTAACGCCAGTCAAATCCCTAGGTATCTACTAGGTGCAATTTTATGAAAATAAACACCAATCAAAGCAATCGTTATAGAGAAACAGACGTGTGCTGAAATATGAAATATTTCTTTTAATGGAAACACAAATTATAATTGAAACGATAAAATTTAAGCGATAACACGAATATGTTAAATTCGTCATGCACTCTGACAATACACTATACAACTGTTACATGTGTATATGTTCGGTAAAAGTAGATATTGCGGCAAATGTATACATTTTCCGGTAAATGTGCACATTTGCCTCATCGTTTGGGTAATGTGCATTCAACTAACATTTACAATTTCAAAGAAGGGAAATGTACATTGAATTCACAATAACCATATCGTTTTATTTACCGGTAAAAGTGTACATTTCCTAAGAGTGTACATTTACCGTAACATATACATTCAAATCAAATCAAATCAAAAAAGTTTTATTCAACATAAATGAAAGTACATACTTGTTGAACGTCAAAAGAACTACCGCCAATTCACAAGAATTAGCCTCCGTCCTGAGAAGAATTGGCAAGAAACTCAGCGGGCATGTCTGTTTTTTTTAATATTAGATAAAAAAAAATATTATTAGATTTTTAAATATTCATTTTTACAATAAGTAATTATAACATAACAATTTTACAATATTGAAATGCCCGGAGCGAGCAACTCATTCCCACTTTGTGCAATCTTCTAGATAATCATTGACTTTATAGTAAGCATTGTAGAAAGCATTGTTCAGCATTTTACACTGACGTATCCTACAATACAATTTCTATGATATATCATGTAAATTTCGGGCATATATCAGTGAAGGTAAACTTGTGCATTATAATTCTTGCATACCTTGAGCTAATGATTTTCCACAATACTAATAAACTTATGATGCAAATATCGTCATTAATAGACTGGATCCAGTGAAACGATGCTCCTCGCTTTGCATACTTGGCTGAACATGCACATTAAATCAATTTGAAATCAAAAAAGCATACCAATAAGAATATAAATCTTATAATACTTTAAAATTCGTCTAATATAAATATATCTATATAAATCTATCTATCTATTTAGATTTAGCAACAACACACGCAATATCACATTTTTCAGTTTCAATAATTACACATTACAACGTTTTTAAAGAATGGATCAGAATTTCAGCAGTTATACAATCAATAGAGACTTCGATCTTATATGTAATTAGACAAAGTATGTGTACGTAAAAATGATTAATGCGATGTCTTTTACTTATGAGTGCAACATTCGTAAAAACACAAAAAAAAATATACATTTAAATTACCTACATATAAAAAAAATCTATTACAATTTTTTTTTGTTTTGTTACTGTCCTCCCGGTGGTGTGATTTAAAAAAAAACTATTTATATTTTTAGATAACCGTCTCGGGTGAGAGTATCGAGGAGATTCGACTCACTCGTGTGAGAATGAAATAGGTGTGCTATGAAAATAACTAAAGTAGCGGGAAAGGGTGCTTGATAGGAAGAAAGAATGCAACAAGAACGGATAGCAATTTTCTAATTATCTGTGGTCTACAGAAAAGCGAAAATCAAATCTTACACACTGTTTAATCATTCTGATCGAGGGAAACAATATATTAAATAATTTAATGTATTATAAATTCATTATAACTAGTTTACATATTTAAAAAAATATATATATTGAATTCTAATCAAAATGTACTTATCGAATCCAATAAATCAGGCCTTAATCTACATAAGTAAAAGTTACTAAAATTGCAAATGAAAATATTTCAATCCTACATCAGTTTTTTTATAAAATACTCCGCTTCCAATATTTTTATGTATTCGAAAGTTCATGGTTAGCGATATCTGAGTAGAAATGTCAAAATTACGTTTTTTTTTTTGCACTGAAAAATTGTTTATCATCGTTAAATATGTACATATATCGAAAACTTCAAACTGGTGGTTTAAGATAACAAACAAATCACAAATCGTTACAAATTAAAAACGGATACAGAATAAAGATTCTATTCAAGAAAATACATAGATTATATCGTATACAATTTTTTAAAATTAAATTTATTGCATATATTAATCCTATTAATTATTATAAAATATATAATTATAAAGTATTCAAAAAACGAAGTCTCGTATAAACAAAGAAAAGTCTGCAAATTATTAAGATTTAATTTTAATGAAAAAACCAAGTTATGGCAATGGTTTTTAAAAAACTCATTTAAACTTAATTAAGCTCCAAAGGTGTTCGCAAAATTCGATAAAGCTTCAGGTCGTTGAACCAGACGCAGACGAACCCTTTCGAAGCTAACTATACCGACAGCCCGAGAAAGGAACTGAAGGATAAAATAACTTCAATACTCGTGACCTTCGCGTGAAGTAATTTATGAAGTGTCTTATTTTATTTTGGAATATTAGAAATAATGAAATCTGACACTGCACATTATTCTTCTACAAACTTTTTTTCTAAATATATTATAACAAACAATTTACTTGCAATCGAAACTAAGTGAACCTTGATTTTGTGGACGGTTGCTACTCACTACCTACGAACGTGCTCTCAATAACATGTGACATTTAATAGGATTGAACACTCAATTTATTCTTGGTACGCATGTAGGCTTTACGCACGCACTTCCTTATTCAATCAGTAGGAACCTTCAAATGAAACATTGTGTGATTTTTTTATTCATTGTCTTGTAGTAGAACGTTTGACTGAATCAATAATATTAAAAGGCGGACAAGTGCGCGCGTCAAAGGATCCCGTTGAATAGTAATGGTATTATTATTATTATCTTATTCTATAGATATAATAAAACATTTTTTAGTCGCCTAAAGTATTATCAAAAAATCTAGGCTACCAAAAAAACTACTTATCATAATGCAATTTCATATGCATATGCAATTTCGAAAAGGGCACATCTCTAAAAATGTAAAATGTTCAGGTAATGAAAAAAGCTGATTATTTTCTAAGGCAGTGTAAAATTTAAAATATTAACTTTTGAGATATAGTATTTTAGTATTAATTAGCAATTGAAAATTACTGGTATTATTATAAAATTGGTGTAGGTAAGCCTCAAAACTACATGTATATGAAAAAACGTATTTGACAAAATATGGGACATGCGCCCTTTTCGAAATTGCATATTCAATTATTTTTCAAAGTTCTTTGGAAGATTCCTCAAAGCTCCATAAAGTACTTTCTGTCATTCAATAGTTCGTGAAAGTATGAATGTGTTCCCATTTCGCACATTTAAATTCAAACGATCAAAAAGGTGTGAATATTATAATAATATTAAAAAACGAACTTTCTAGATTTATCGCTACAAATGAGAGGGCACTACTAATGTAATTTTATTATGAATGGAGAGATTTCTGCTGCCTCGAAGGCATTTCTAGTTTCACTAGGACCGGTGGACAAAATCAAAGGCTTAACTGCATTTGCTAACAACGGGCAGTTGTTAGCATTCAAAGGAAGGCTGACAGCTTCGCCGATGCATCCACTACCACATCATAATTAACAAACTAATAGCGTCTAAAACATTCATCAGAATGCGCTTGGGGCTTCAATGGTGATCTTACTTAAACCAGGATAAAGACATAGTTAGTGGTAATCGCGAAAAGGGATTTGACATTTCTGGAATTTCAATACTGCCTTCATATACATCCTCATATAATTATAACATGTTTCTCGCTCACATATGACGATAATTTTAATTAACGAAAAATATTGTAAATACAAAATAAGGTTTAATTGTGGTACCAAAAATAATATAAAAAATAACCGGTATTCGCCGGTTATAACTGGTCGATAACAAAGACAGTTAATACTGATGAGTGAAATGAAAACCCGAATGAAATTGCATGCAAAAAATATCCTCGACCCGTTTTTTTTTGCACTGTATAATAACCGGCAAACTTCTTGAGCATTTGTTGACGTAGTGGGGGTAAGTTTGCGCATGGTACACTCACGTGCAAAAACATTACTTACTCTGCGTCATAATGCTATTAAATTATTAAAATCAACATAATTATGTATTTATTTATATATTTATTAGAACATCAACAAAACATATAGGTTAATAATTGTAATAATTTAATCTTGGGGTAAAATAGATATTCCTTCTATTAAGTCAAAACTAGAGCTGTTGCCAGGTCTTGGTTCAGTTAAAGCGAAGCTGGTATTTGTAATTTTTTTTTCGTTATCATAATCTTGACCATTATCATCATCACTGTTTTCATCACCCGAGTCGCTATCATCGTGATGAGTCGACATAGGGCTCATCGGCGTAGTTTACAACTCGGTCGATTCGGTCTTCTTTTTTGTCTATAATTAATTATTTTTTGAAGATATTCGATTCGTAGTAATCGAATGTTACTTTTTTCATTTACCAGCTTCCGATTATTTTCTGTTCTTTTCTTCCATCTGAAGCCTAGCTCTTTCATAATTCGTCGTAAGCTTCATTCCGAGCCATTAAAATTTATATCTTCTTTAAATTTTTCGAAGCCTTTCTACGGTACGGAGTTTCGCTGCTTGTTATGTAGTTATTATGATTACATCTTTTTATTACAGATTGAACGAAACTATCCATTCCGGTAACTTTCTTCTTCCCTGATCTTTTCTTACCCGGAGTCCGAAACACGGCGAGCAAGCCAGAGCCTTTAGCTTCGTTAATAATGCACCTAACAGTACTCACTGATGTTTTTGTTGCTTCCGAAGTCTGTTTTAATTTTTCCATATCATTCTTCCCCTGTTTTATAATGAAGCAATATACGTCGTACACAAATTTTCTACCCTTTCTTTTAAGTACTACACCAGTTTGTCACGGCATAGTGTATGTTTTATAAAAAATCAACAAACACTCAACAAATAGCAATGGCAACAAAGTCCACAAGCAATTATAACAAATAACTTAACGATTAATAACGATAGACTTTCCACTGTACGCAAGCGTACTTTTGGGAGCAAGCGGAATGAGGGCGCGGTGCGGGACGCAAGGCTCGACTGATCTACCAATAACGCGCTCGATACGATTTCCCCTGCCGTCGCGCCTCACCCTCACCACCAAAGTGATCTAAAATTCGGTTCTGCGCAGTCAAGGTCATTTGCTCAAGAAGTTTGCCGATTACTATACGTAATGTAACGCAAATAAAACGCCAGTAACCTGTGAGCTCACGAACTCAACCTGAGAGAATTTGCTAACATTAGTCCTAACAAGAGCAGTGCTTCGCAGAATCTACCACCGGATCGGAAGCGCGACCCACTGAGAAGATCCGGCGAGAGACTCAGTGGGCTATGTTTGTGGGTTAATTTACTCGCCGAGCCCTTCGTCGCGTTTCACCGTCACAAAATATGAACATATTGAAATAATGGAAATGAAAATAATGGTACAGGTTAGCTTTCTGTGACCAAAAACACGCGTGTAAATTCCAAGCGATTAGCTGCTTTTCAATATAATGCAAAAATTACTAGTAAAAATTGTAATTTTCCAAACATATAATGTTTTTAATGTTATTGAGTAAAGAATCGCATTTTAATATCTCCATTTCAAAACCAGGAATTCAATAAAAAAATTCTGAAATGTAATATAAAAAAAATATTCACTCACCTTTCTTCTATTTTTCGTTAGCAGCACGTATTTTCCGTCTTCAGAAAACGTAGACAGCGTATAATTGCTCAAATTATACTGTGAACACGAATATTTAAAAGTTAAACAAACGTCATACTGTGCTTAAGAGATTTTATTAGCGAAAATTACCGCCTAATTAGACGGCTAACAGTTTCTTATACTTTAAAACGTATCTATCACACTTTATACCTATTGGTAAAGAATTAAAACAACCGCTAAACCAGGTAGGTAATCTAAATTACGGAATAGAAAGGACGAACATGATCTTAACATGAAATCGAAAGTGTATAAAATATATTTCATTCATAAATATGCATAATCAAATCATAGATCATTTAATATTGAAATGTATTCATAGTTTTACCAACCGAATTAGCTTATATACAAAATGTATTATTTTTTTAAATGATAAATGAGGAGATGAACTCGCAGCCTACTTATTGCTAAACGAATATCCGTAATCCCGACAACGCCATCGGGAATCATAAGAATATTCTATTGCCCAGAGTTCAAGTTGCGGGGCACATGTTACATACATAATTACTTATATATTTTGCTTACTCCAATCGAACCACAGATACGTTAACGACAACTGGTACGAAGTCCCGCTGGGTGATATGAATTCTCAATTTCTTGACTCTATTTGAGTTCAGTCAGTGCGGGGATCCGGGGGTCACGAGTGATGGGGCTCTACATTAGTTTATTTTATTTATTTATTTATTTATAACTTCTTATACTAGAAAGTATAAAGGCGGACTTAATGCCATAGGCATTCTCTAACAGTCTACCTTAGGGGAGTGCAGAGATGAAGCTTGGTAGGTGTAGTGTAGTATGGTACGACTGTGGCCACTGTTCTTGGCTTGGTGGTATTCGGCTATTCGCTACCACCCCAAAAACATGTATTATCTATCTTCAGTATCTTGCTTATAGCCACGAACGTTTCATTATTCGCAATCATAAATTCAATTGGTCCCCAAGATTTAGAAGCATATGTTTGTGCATTTCGCTTGTGTCAAGGGAGTCGCAGTCATGAAATCAAAACGTAGCTTAACATTGTACATTGCACCAATAAAAAGTGAACAAACGTAAACAAAGTTATTTGAAACTATTATTTATTTAAAGTCTTTAGAGTTCACAAACAGAGTTCTTAAACAAGGGGAATTAAACTTGTTCAAATTTAAATTATATGTTGCCATTAATGTTTGCCTATGTTGAGGACGGATAATCCGTCTGCAATAGTATTTAAAAATCGAACTCATGTCTATAAGCGACACGCATTTAACGTTGGGCGAGCCGTAAATGTTTCTTCCTAATACAATGTTTAATAAGTATGAACACGAACATGGACTTTACAGCTACGAGTAAGCTTTTAATTAAAGCTCTCATGTACCAGACCAAAGCTTTTCCAGACTACAATCTTGCTAACAACTTAGCTATTGTATCTTAAAAGCTATGCTTCGTTTATAATTTCGGTACAGTCGTATAGGTGATACCACTTTGCTTATTTTCACTTTGCTTATTTCTGTCGAAGCAATCATTCGTTTCGGTCTGATGGATAGGACAGATATACAATTGAGACGTCGAAATCATATCTTTTGGCAGATGGCGATATTCATGGTATATAACCTATGGGGTTTGCTAATTATTTTTGTTACAAAAATTATATACCATTTCATTTTTACTAACATAATATTTAGTGTTTAAATATAATTATTATTGTTTTAAAATTTTATCAAATTATCAATATTATTAAAATATTTGTATTGCATCTGTTTTTATTTAATTAAAGAAGCATACTACATACTATGCAAATATATTACAATACTCATAGTATCCTGTAATAGGTAGCAAATTACTTAAAAAAATATCGGTAAAATAATAGTTACCAATTCGATTTCATTGAGAATCGTGACGACTTTATCCGTGGAGGCGTCGTATTTCTTTATCCCACCAGGATCTTTGTATATATACGTTGTATCTGAAAACGCAACAATGGAAACAGTAACAATAGTGTTGCATAAGTTTGTAGCAGCTAAGCGTATGCCTTGAAAATAAAGAATTCAAAGGCTCGTGTATCTGGTTCAAGGTCCGAAAAAAAAATTTAATTTTAAATTGAAGTAATTTTCATAATTAATAACCATTTAACGCATTGCAACGGACATAAAATTTAAATTACGTCGTTACAAGATATACATTGAATTATTCGTGAAAATGTTACATAAGCAATATCGTAATAATAAATAGGATATTTTTACTACAAGAGCTACAAGGACTACAAAAATAAAGGACTTTTTTGCAGCAAAAAAGACCGCCGTTTATTGGGTTCCGTAGAAAAAGCACAGTGTGAATATTAATTTATCTATATCTATACTAATATTATAAAGAGGAAAGATTTGTTTGTTTGTTTCGAATAGGCTCCGAAACTACTGGACCGATTTAAAAAAATCTTTTTCCATTAGAAGCCGACATTGTCCCTGATGAACATAGGCTACTTTTTTTATTTATTTATTTATTTTTTATTTTTTTGTTTCATGTGTGTTTTAATGTTTCCGAAGCGAAGCGAGGGCGGGTCGCTAGTGTGAATATTAACTTATTATTAATAATATTACATATGTTTTATAATTAATATATTTATTTAATAATATAATTTAAATATTTGTCGGTACATTAATTTTAAATAATTTTAATTTTAAATTTGGCTGAGTGACAGTGAACGATATTGAATTATTGACCGTTGCTTTACTAACTGTCAACTGTAAAAAGGCAAAAGGATCATCACCCATACAGAATAGATTCACGTAATAAAATTCTAAAGTCACACTTACTGAACAAAAGAATTATCTGAGGAATTTNTAATGTATTGTATATGGTACACCGCACCTGCTATATTTTTTATATTTTACAGAATTTCTGTAAATTAAATGGTTGTCTGGAAGAGATCGCTTTTAGCGATAAGACCGCCTATTGTACATATGTGCTTTTTGACTGTTTGTTTTTTTAAAATGTAAATTGTGTTGGTGTGCAATAAAGTGTATTCTCTCTCTCTCTCTCTCTCTCTATAAAGCGGTGAACAGAAAGTGAAAAATGAATCAATAAGGCAAATAAAAAGAACAAACAAATCATAAAAGTAAGCTATGTGAGAATTCGTGCCGTTTTGCATCGGATTGCGTGTACGTTGTACGTATACACGTGTAAGTATACTCTGATGCGTGGGCGTGTAATGCGTGCCAGTAATGCATTTTATGCGATACGATAATATTTATGAACATCCGGATAGACCGACTCGGAATTTGAGCATTAGAAAACTGTTGCATCTGATATTTAATCCGCGATAAAAACAGACATTAACCTCAATTCTAACTAAGTAACGTAGCCTCCTATTAAATTAATGCTGATAAGTTCCAGAAAACCAGCAGTTATTGTATTTTAAAAGATTGTCTAGTTCTCAAAAATTATAAAATAACAATTAGCCTAACTCCAGAGTGGTGGTCCTTATTAGTCTGATGCAAATGCGTACCCATCATCACACCGGTATCATAGCAATCACCACTACTCTATTACAATACTACTACTGATGAATGTGGACATCAAGTTACCGAAACGTCATATCACGTTTTGAAGCCGTAAAAAGCGTTCACATTTCATTGATGCACCACGATATCCGAGTAACCTAATTGATACAAAATTCATGTACTAATAATTAAAATCATAAATTCCACTAACCTGATATCCATTGCACGGACATTCTTTCAGGATAAAACTCGGCCATCAAAGGTACTATTTCTTCTAATGAAAATATTTTTTGCCCCTGAATATATGCCGACGATTGCGTGTGGCATATCAAACCCATAAGCAGAAAGACAGCTTGCTCCATTACCTGAAAAGAAATACTGAATTAAAACAGTAAGAAACTTTTTTTTTTATTGCTTAGTTGGGTGGACGAGCTCACAGCCCACCTGATGTTAAGTGGTTACTGGAGCCCATGGACATCTACAACGTAAATGCGCCACCCACCTTAAGATATAAGTTCTAAGATCTCAGTATAGTTACAACGGCTACCCCACCCTTCAAACCGAAACGCATTACTGCTTCACGGCAGAAATAGGCAGGGCGGTGGTACCTACCCGCGCGGACTCACAAGAGGTCCTACCACCAGTAATTACGCAAATTATAATTTTGCGGGTTTCACTTTTATTACACGATGTTATTCCTTCACCGTGGAAGTCAATCGTTAACAACTGTCAGCAGCTTTTTAGTAACAAATTACAAAATCCTATAGTCTATCAATTTTTAACTTGAAATAATAATGTTGACACAAACGAATCACTCTTAGATAATAGAGGCAAGCTTCTCAACGATTATCAGTATATAGTCTCGGCGTTAAAGAATGGGTGAAGGGCACATGACCTTGTGTGATATCTCTCATGCGATGAACCGATCAAATTAAGACTACTGTAGAAGTTCCCTTAAATGAGCGCGGCATAATGTCCTCGATCTGGAAGAGATAGCGGGACATCGTAAGCCGGATTAAATTTGCCCTCCCCAATACTATGTAACGATCATGACCACTCTGTCTAGAGTGAAACGATTAAAGAGAAGAAGAGGATTTAACCTACAACTTGCAACCCATGTACATCACAAATACTACTGCTACTATCCGTCCCTTTTCCCGTTATCGGGGGTCGGGTCTCCTCACTCTACGGCGCCAGGCTGTCCTGGGTTGTCGGTTTTGGCAATTGGGCTTTCTTAAGGTCTCTTTCAATGTTTAAACACCAGGTCGATGGCGGGTGGGCTCTACCTTTCTCTTGTTCTGGCGAGCCCAATGCGACCTTCACCACATGATCTTCGTCCAGTCTCATGATATGGCCATACCATCTAAGGCGATTTTCCGTCATTTTGTCTGTGATTGATGTGACTTTAAGGCTCCCCCGAATGTATTCATTCCGAACTCTGTCCATTTACATTACAAATACATGTGTATATTTGTGAAGTTTTTTCTTGGTTTAAGTGAGGCGACTTTCTAATGCCCATCTGTTAAGGTGGAATAGGTGACATGAAATCGAATTCTTTATCAACAAATGTCTTTGCCTCTCTGTATGGAATTACATATTATTTCGATGTGGTAGAATAGAACGGTGATTATATGCATACTTCCAATAAATCCTAGTAGACCATTAAAATGTATTTTTTTCATTGCGCTGCGATTTATCTGTCACTTAACTGTTTATTCGTTGTTAGAGGAAAGTTTCCTTGTAATGAAATACAAAATACTAAAAATACTATAAATTGGAAAATACTCTTTACTAATACTATAATATAATGCAGCGATGCTCCAAATTAAATTTCCAAGTTGTTTATCTTTTTTAATTACACCAAAAATATATCTGAGGTTACATTTTTTTATATCTGTATAAACCATATCGGATTTTTTAATTAATATCTGCATTATAGTTGTTATAAATATACACAATTTAGTTTTTAATAAACAAATAACGAACTAATTTCAGATCAACTAGTTCAAATCACGACTAGACAATTAATGCACAAAAAACTGCATCAATGCGGAATCAAGCAGCTACATATTATGTTTATGTCCTATGTTATTATCTCATAACTATAACTCAGTAAGTAGTTCAGTACCAATCATTCTACAACGAACTAACATGCCGGTGTTATTGAAAATTATTTATGTTTAAAAAGTAAAAGTAAATTGCTCAAGGCTCAATCCTTATGAGACAGAGGAACGCAGACTGTTTTAGCGTTTTGTTAATAAAACAGTACATTCACTTGTACGAAACTACTCAAGCACGTGTTACGAAACACAAGTACGGTCGTCAGTTAAAATCTAACCATATAACCATACAAGAAAACATATATCAACTATTTTTACTCATGGTAGGACGTCTTGAGAGTCCACAGGGTCCTCCCAGGGTACCAGGTAAACACCCTGCTTATTTCTGCCGTGAAGCAGCAATGCGCTTCGGTCTGAAGGGTGGGGCAGCCGTTGTACTATTAAAGCTGAGACCGTAGAGCTCTTGTTTCAAAGTGGGTGGCGGCATTTACGTTGTAGATGTCTATGGGCTCCGGTAACCACTTAACACCAAGCCGTGAGCTCGTCCACCCATCTAAGCATTAAAAAAGTCCTTTTAAAATTCATTTACCTTTTGTTGTGAATACGACACATTCTGTTACCGACCATTTTAAAATAATCGTATAATTTTATTAACTAGTCGCTTTGGACACATAACACAGAAGCACCTGCAGCTGTGTCGACACAGTAACTCAAAAGAATATTTCAATTTAACATATCCGTTTTGGTACAATAATAATAGTTTTTTAAATATATTTTGAGAAAAGCGAATTAAACACTTAAATATATCAATATTTGGCTATCTTAGGTACGAGTTACGAGTCGTAGATGTGAATAAAAATAAGTACTGAAAACTGTAGTACTGAAGTTTGTTATAGTAGGCAAGCATGCAACCAGCCCACCCGATGTTTGGATTGATACCATAGCTCATGGACGTCAGCAATGCCAGAGGCACAGTAAGGTCGCTGCCTACGGCTGAGTACTCTCCAAAATCTCGGTTGAAGAAGGACACATCATAGCGCTTGCTAAATACTTTAAATAAAATAAAAATAAAAAATTCAAATCTAAAAAATTAATTTCAAATATACTTTCTATCCTGTAAGCAGAGTCAGCATAAAGCAGATCCTATAGAAATTGAATAGTACTAAGTTGATCGGTAGGTACCTACATTAGTTCTTTCAGAAATCATACTAGGTAAATTTAATTCATTTAAAGAATACTCGTATTGCATGAAGACAATGCTAGTTTAATTAATAATTGAGAACATACTTTTTCAACTACATATATTTTATCACAAATTTGACATTCGACTATCAACAATTGAATTTACTTCAGTAGTTTTTGTTTATATACCTACCATTTAAAAGGGATTTAATTTAAAAAAAAGTGATTGAAAATTTTTATTGGTGTTTCAGTTGATTCTGTCATAGTCATATGTCATCAATATCTTGGTCAATATTTTCAATAATGTTCAAATAATAAATAATATACATTTTCACATGCTAAGTGAATAATGTTCTGTTTGTAAACAAAAATGTACAAATACACGCCTGTATGCAGTTTAAAATGAATTAATGTCGCTCACGTATCCAACCGTATTTATTGTCATCGGTAGGTACTCATAGCAATGTCAGACGCAGTAAAACAAAGAGTACAACACATACATACACATTTACAATTGTACACATATAAATTTCATATAAACACATAAAACTGATTTGATTACATACGTTCTGTCTATTGTATTACTCGATAATCTTGTATTTATTTTAAGTTGCAGTATCAGAACGACTTATGACATTTAGTGTAATAACACAAAATATTTTCATTAATATAAAAAGTTTCCGTATTGTTCCGTGTTATCAAAAAGAAGGGTAAAATTGTAATTTAAGCTTGGCACATTTACTTCCGATTCTTATTTGATAGTCGTGAAAATATTTTCCTAAACTAGTTATTAAAGTATTGGCAGTATTATCAAATAACACGCAATGAAATTCATAGTTTGATATTACTAAAAAAAAATATTTCCCAATAAATTAATGTTGTGGATTCGTACTCTTAGAGATAGGAAAATTATATTGCCTCCCGAAACAGTGACCCTTTACATATAGGGAAAACTGTACTGTTGGTCAGAGGCAAATTCTAGATCAGAGATCTTAATTAAGATATTAGTGGTCTGGATGTACTAATTGTGTGTTTCTAGAATCAATAAAAAAAGAAAATCCTAACCTGTGGAATGTTTATTCTATTATTCTAATGCTTATTTTATTATTATGCCTCGTGGTTTCAATTTTGCTTCAAATTTATTCAGAAAAACTAAAACATGTTTCCCGGAATAAAAAACTGCTCTCTATGTAGTGAACAAACTGGCAGTCAATTTGAAGATGAGTTGGTAAGTTTCACAAACCAGCGAACATTGTAGTTCCGTCGTTGCCCGGGTCACGCCACTAACCATTTTATAAAGCATTGTGTATTAATCCAGGGAGTTGTGTGAAATTTCATTCTAATATGTTCAGATTTTTTTTTTGTTATTGGATAAGTAACAAATGTACAAAACTATAATTTCAGAACAGTAGTATAGATTATTGACAGTATATATGCTTGGCTTACACAAACATATATACTTATCGTTGTAATTGTAATTCGTATAGTAGCGATTCATTACTTTGGCGGTAAGCCGTATTGTGGGACGCGAGTAGGTACCACCATTCTAGTCCTGGTGTGTATCTGGACGTGGTTCGAAAGGTTCCGAACGGTCTTCATCAAATACAACTGAGTTCTCATGTCTTAAGGCCTTATTAGTGTCGTAGCGTTTATAGCCTCTATAGCAACGGTTCCCAAACTTATTTTGTCTACTGCCCACTTTAAGAATAAATTATTTTTTAACGCCCCCATTTTCCCATCTACTTAAGAACCACTATAGCGAGAGCTCAGTCGGTGTCTAAGAGTCCTCCTAGATGAAATTACAAATCGCCTCCCCGGCCTCTACAGAACGCCCCCATTTTTTTCTGGGTCTCTTACCGCCCCCCTTGGGTCCTCCAGCGCCCACAAGGGGGCGTTATCGCCCACTTTGGGAAAGGCTGCTCTATAGGGACGTGACCTAGTCTACGGATACGGATATTACGGATTTAAATCCATAAAAATGAAAATAAGCTAATAATAGTCCATGGACCGTGTCAAATGCAGAAATCTTTGAAATAGACGATCTCACTCACTCCCACACCTCTACAAACGCACGCAATGCCGCGCGTTTGTGCTCGGCCGTCGACTTCACGCGTCAGCTGTTTTAAATTGAATTAGCATTTGTATTAAAACTAATAGTTTTTCTTGTCGTCATCTGTTTATGTTATCGTACCACCAGTCAAAAGCATCATTACCTGTCCTTTAGTTCCATTTATAAACATTGAAAATATGGGGGTCACTGTAAAGCAAACGCCTTGTTGATTCTGTTGTGATAAGTTGTTACTGGTAAGATTCCTAGTTGGTGTTAATATTCATATCGTGCAACACTGGAACGTATGAAATGGTAGTGAGCGCTATGACATGTCTTTCTTTAAAAGAGGCTTGTGGAGAGTATTAAACGGTAGACAGTGGCTTGGCTCTGCCCTGGCATTGCTGAAGTCCATGGGCGACGGAAACCACTGACAATCAGGTGGGCCGTATGCTCGTCTGCCTATAAGGGCAATAAAAAAATAAAAAAAACTATTTTCCAAGATTTTCGGGAATCTAGAGCCAGTTACAGTTACTTGGTATAATATAATGTCGCATTTATTCATACGATTGAGCTTTTATCTCGAGAAACAAAAGGCTTAATAGAATCATTTACTTCGAATATCGATAATACTCAAACGAAAAAGAAAGTTTATTTCGTGAATTAATTCCACCATGACTCTGTTTTAATCGTTAAGTAATAATCGGGATAAAAAAAGAAAAAAAAATTTTGTTCAGATGCGTTTACGAAAAAAAAATCCAATTGTAAAATTCTTATTGTTTTCAACACATACGACACTTGAATACGTAACGGTAAACTGTTAAATCTCAAGCCGAGGTCAAGTAAACTAGAACACAATTGTTTATCTAATTTATCTTTCGTAATTGTCGTCAATATTGTTTTTATCTCAATATACCTCAAAAATTAATTGGAAAATGAATTTTCAAATATCTCAAATTTCATAAACATTACCACAACAGTCGTAAATCTTCACTATGAAACAAATTACCCACCTATTTAATTTAAAAATCAATTGAATTAAATAACAAAAACACTGTTAATATTAATACAGTACAACTCAAAATATTGTAAAACTCAATTTTAATGATAAATTCGATTCAAAGCACTAAATATTTACAACAACAACAACAACAACAACAAAATTACCACAATCACATCACTCACCATATTCCTAGTTCGTAGTACGAAACACAGGAAGCAAGAAGGCGATCCTCAATGAAAGTAAAGTGGTCCAATCAACATCACACGACCGAGTTCGGCGGACTGTCGTCTCGTAACGTGCACACGGTAAGCAGGGCCGTCGGCGACTGGTATACAAACGTCCAACAGCTCAACACAACTGTCGAAAGACAACCCTCGCGAAAACCGGTTTATATTTACAAAAGGCATACGTATATCCTCTAGAAAGGCAGGAATGCGGATGCTTTGTTCCGAGGACCAAGGAGGCGAGCTCCATTTACAAAACTAGGTCCAAACGTAAATCCTGAACTAAACAGTAACTACAAGTATCCCTGCGAATTCCTATTAAATTATTTGGTAACGCGTATATACTTAACATAGTTAAACTTATAATAGAATTATCGCGTTGATAAGGCAAATCATTATACATATTGTAAATATTTTTCATTTATTTAAATAATGAAACATGAGTTGAAAAAAAAACATAAAATTCAACAACTTATTTCTAATGTAGAGTGTCATTTGGCTGTGTCACTGTTCAAGCTTACAATTAAACTGAATCTATACTAATAATCAAACAATTTTATAAAAAAAATTATTGTAAAATCGTACATATAATTAGCATTGCAAATATCCGTCGATGAATAATTTTTCAAGTTAATTTAAAAACTAAAAAGAAAAAACAATGCTGACGCACAATAAGCAGCATTGATCTTATTCTGATTATTGCGTAATCTGATTCAGCTGGTTAGTGACATAACATCCAGGTTATTTATTGTATTATTCGTTTATTGCATAAACCTAACTATTTTTGAACGAGGTCAAATACGAACCAATAAATAAGCAAAAGGATGCGCGACTTCTTGAATTAAACACTTTGTTGTGTGATCCAAAAAGTGATTTGATGTGCAAATGTCTGGCCTTAATACTATGCAAACTTTTCTTTATTCAAAAGCAGAGTCGCTCTTAAATTTTTATTTTAGTAATATTATACTTAAAGCTATTATATAATTTTACAACGGATTTCGTAATCCATATGCTCCATTGTTAAAACAAACTGATTCCTAAATTCTCAACATTTGAAAGAATATAATTGGGTGAGTCCTTCAGTTCGCCCATCCATCCTGTTGGAGCTGAAAATGTCTCTGGACCAAACCCGACCCTTGCATCATAAAGAAATATACAATGTTTCTTGGTGTAGATAAAAAAGGTTTAGATCCGTTGTTAGACGTTTAACTCCTGAACAATATAAGTTTACAGATATCAACTTGACAGCCACCGTCCGTCCATCTTAAGAAGAAACGCGAGTTATATTTAGTTCAAAAAAGATATTTTACTTCTTTTAATCCTCGAAAATGAATCCTGTATAAAATCTAGTATTTAATACATATTCTTCAAAATTATCCGCTTCCCGCCTTTCCTCTTAAGAAAATCCCAATTTAAATTACATTAAAGCTATTCTCTTCATGCATGCCGAGTTCGACAGACAGGATCAGGTATCAGATACGTATCTATAGTTCAATTCTTACGTATTTTTCTGCTTATCTATATACAGTCAAACCTGGGTAAGTGAGAACTGGATAAGTAAGAAAACTCTATAAGTGAGAGTAATAGCAAGGACCCGTCATTTTAAGCTCCCAATACCTCTATTAGCGAGAAACAGAAACCTCTGTAAGAGAGAGTCGTTTTTTCCTCATGGACCTCCGTAAGTGCTACCTATCTACCTATCTATACCTCTATAAGCGACAGCCGAGCTTTATTTATTTATTTATATTATTTATGAGGAACAAATGACAAAACAAATTACAAATTTAACATCTGCTATTTTATGACTCATTTTTAACTTTCGTGGAACTTCTTATCATTGTTTTTGTATTGTTTTCTCGTGAATATTGAACCTATTCTATTTCGTGGAACTAAATAACGTTGTTATTTTATCGTATTCTTTTATTGCATTATTTTCGAATGGACACGTGTGCCTGTGTACCATTCTGTTTGTCGGACTTACTCAGTTTATCGTTAATCAATTGCGAAGGAAAGTTCTATTCTGCATCATGTAAAAACGGAAAATTAAAGTACTGTCATTAAAGTCATAAACTTAAAATAGTGAATGCATTTGAATGCGGAAAATCGCGAATCGAATTTCAGAGGGAGCATTAGCGAGAAAGAAACTCAGGTTAGTGAGAAACCTCTATAAGCGAGAATGAGATTGTGCTCCCTTGAACTCTCGCTTATCCAGGTTTGACTGTATATAAAAATGAATTGCTGTTCGTTAGTCTCGCTAAAACTCGAACGGCTGGACCGATTTGGCTAATTTTGGTCTTGAATTATTTGTGGAACTCCAGAGAAGGTTTAAAAGGTAGATAAATATGAAAATGCTCGGAATTAAATAAAATTAACAATTTTGTTTTTCCTGCGATGTATCCCCCGTCGGACGGATCCCTTTTGTTTGTATTATATTTATTTTATACAAAAGTTTAGGTCTTTTATTTATCGATTGAGGCACTACAAAATCTGCCGGGTCAGCTAGTTTTAAATAAATAAAGATTACTAACATGATTCGTAAATGTTTTTGGCCTGATTTATGTACGACCATTTAAGTGATGGACATAAATGTCTTTAACCTTTTGGCGCGATTGCATTCATACTTAGTAACCGGTGTTACATCACAAATACCTATTCGCAGAGTCAATATGAACCTTTGGTGAATAATAAAATTCTTCTTTATGATCGTACTTAGGGCTGAATATAAGAATTTTGTAATCTTGTGTTTTACTCAATGTTTGTTTCAAACATGTGTAGTAATCGCCAAAAGCATAAAATTTTAAATGCAAATAAATTAGCTGAACTCTTAAATCGTTTTGATTGGTTTTCCATGCCCAATTAAGCTCGAAGCAATACCTACGCGTCATTAGAGATGAAAATAATTCGACTTACTACTTCGACTTGTCACTAACTGGGGAGGACATTTGGGCCCAGTTTTAGGAATCAGGACTCCAGATGAGAAAAACTACTACGACTATTTCAAAGTAAAATAGAAAATGTTTTGCTTTTTCATAAAAACACTACACTATACTAAATTTATATATCTTGAGATAGACATTAGCGAAAATTTTAACAACCATAGAATGGTTAATTTCCAAAACTATCCAATCTGCCCAAATTATAAAAGGAACTACGACTGGACAAAGATTTTTGCTTTATAAAGCACAAGTCCGGCCTCGCGTGGAGTACTGCTCCCATATCTAGGCCGGGGCTCCCAAATACCAGCTTCTTCCATTTGACTCCATACTCTGTAGTCGTCGTGGCCTAACGGATAAGACGTCCGGTGCATTCGTGTTGAAGCGATGCACCGGTGTTCGAATCCCGCAGGCGGGTACCAATTTTTCTAATGAAATACGTACTCAACAAATGTTCACGATTGACTTCCACGGTGAAGGAATAACATCGTGTAATAAAAATGAAACCCGCAAAATTATAATCTGCGTAATTACTGGTGGTAGGACCTCTTGTGAGTCCGCGCGGGTGGGTACCACCGCCCTGCCTATTTCTGCCGTGAAGCAGTAATACGTTTCGGTTTGAAGGGTGGGGCAGCCGTTGTAACTATACTTGAAACCTTAGAATTTGTATCTCAAGGTGGGTGGCGCATTTACGTTGTGGATGTCTATGGGCTCCAGTTACCACTTAACGCCAGGTGGGCTGTGAGCTCGTCCACCCAACTAAGCAATAAAAAAAAAAAAAAAAAAAAAAAAAAAAAAAAAAAAAAAAAAAAAAAAAAAAAAAAAAAAAAAAAAAAAAAAAAAACAGATCAAGGGCCGTTCGGATTGTCGATAATCCCATCCTCACGGATCGTTTGGAACCTCTGGGTCTGCGGAGGGACTTCGGTTCCCTCTGTATTTTGTATCGTATGTTCCATGGGGAGTGCTCTGAGGAATTGTTTGAGATGATCCCCTCATCTCCTTTTTATCATCGCACCTCCCGCCATCGGAGCAGAGTTCATCCATATTATCTGGAACCGCTGCGTTCATCGACAGTGCGTTTCCAGAGGTCTTTCTCGCCACGTACCATCCGGCTATGGAATGAGCTCCCCTCCACGGTGTTTCCCGAGCGCTATGACATGTCCTTCTTCAAACGAGGCTTGTGGAGAGTACTAAGCGGTAGGCAGCGGCTGGCATTGCTGAAGTGCATGGGCGACAGTAACCACTCACCATCAGGTAGGCCGTATGCTCGTCTGCCTACAAGGGAGAAAAAAAAAATTTGCAGTTTCAAAGCAATCGAGGCTTCAGTTAACAAATCCATTCTCTTCTCCGAAATGATGTCGTCAGCTTAAATTTGCCATCATAACCTCACATTAATCATACATTTCTATACGTACACACTGTATGATATCGATACATATTTATAATGGTCGAACATTCAAAGAGACTCTGGAAGAGTTAATCCACCTGTAATAACTCACCTCACACCGTCCTTGCTACATAAATCGGATCATAAATTCCCTGTCATAAGTACAATGAACCAGTAATAAATGTCACGCTCGAAATTTTCTCAAAAGGTTAGCTGCACTTTGTAACGAGTGACCTTGGTTTGTGTGCACGAACTAGATTCCACCCACTTCAAAGATAGATAAACTTTCTACTAGACGCTAACCATTCAAACCATGCCTCGGATCGTATTTCGCATATTGTACATATAGCACTTTCTTAATCTTCATCATGGCAACATTACCTTTTTCATGTTAGCATGTAATATTAAAAACTAGTTGAGGCCCGCGATGTTATCCTTGGTTATTGTCGTACCGCGGGTGAAGCCGCGGGCGAAGCTAATCTAAAAAAGTAGCCTAAGCTACTCCTTATATCATCAGCTACCTATCAGTGAAAGTTTAATCCAAATTGGTCCAGCCGTTCCAGATATTAGCCGGAACAAACAGACAGACAAAAGTTGTAAAAAAATATATTTTGGTGTATGTACCGTATATATTCATATGCATATAGTAAAAAGCGGTTATTTCAATATTACAAACAGACACTACAAAATTTTATTTATATGTATAGAGGTATAGATGAATGTACTACGAGTAGTAACCTATGCAATTATAGTAAACATGTGAATTAAAAGCTACAGCTACTTGTCAATTTGAAGTCTGTCAAAAAGACGAAGGAGCCAATTTACCATAATAGCAAAAGAAAATATACCGAATATTTTGTTTACAGATTATAACCGGTTGCATCGTAAACCGTAACAGTCTGTTGTTCTCGAAACACAAATACGTAGAATCAGCTACCGAGTTTGGTGTATTCAATTATAATTATTTAATAGAATGAATCGTTTCGGCGAAGTTTGAAATACGCGACCAATCATTACATAACATAGTTCGGTCAACTCATCTCCTTTCACTTTCGTCCGCACAAAGCCTTTTTGTAGGCGGAACGCGGTTTCTGTATATAGTGATACCAGTTGAAAGAAACTGGTATTTTAATTTGTATTGCCACATCGATCTGGTTTATTTGTAATCTTTATTCTATATATATGCTACTGATGAACTAAATATACATAGAGGTTTATCTATTTATAAAACTGAATTTATCAATAGGCTGAAATTTCAAACTGTCTTTCGAAATAACTTACCTTTTTTCCTCTACCTATGCTGATAGCCTTGAGAGGCTATTTCAGATTCTCCTTGACGTGTAGGTGAGCTGACGGGGCTCAAACCGGGAGTGTGATTAACACTGGCCCTAGCAAGAGCAGTGCTTCGCAGAAGCTACCACCGGATCGGGAACGCGACCCACTGAGAAGATCCGGCGAGAAACTCAGTGAGCTGTGTCTATGGGTTAATTCGCTCGTCAAGCCCGACGGGTTCGACGAGGACGGTGACCGGTGCTTGAGGTACCTAAAAGCACCGTTAATGGATCGGGAGGATCGGTATTGTCGTGTTTAGGGCGACGTCGATTTTTTATCATTCGGTCCACAAGATCGGGTATGTAAATTACTTTAACAAATTTACTCAACCATGATTTTATAACTAGGCGAATGTTAGCTGATCGTCACTTTAGTTACTTCTACGTGCTCGTCCCAACTAAGAGTGTAAAGTTTTGGCATTATACAAGGATATGAATTAAATCAAGGTATCTACAAAATAATGGTTTTATTTCATTTACATAACAGCTTTGTACAAAAGTCACATATACAACTGAATGCAACTCAACATCAATGATTAATTATTAATTTACATACAGATGAGGAAGCTAACTAAAATATCGCGGTATACCTAATGTATGACGTACAAAAAATATTCATAATTATATTGTCAAAATATCACTACATGAATTAATTCTACATAAATATTTATTTAATCATATAGTAGTGTATTATTCTTGACAAATTATTCTACATTGAAAACCTTGTTGTAAGCTCCGTTCAGATTAACAAAACAATGTTTTAACGGTAATTCTAATAGCAATCTTGTACAATTAGGCATATTTCTAATTCCAAATCGGACTTAAAACTGTGGTCGTTCGACTCAGCATATAATTACATCATAGTGAAATTAAGACATTTCTCATCATCCACAAATGTAACTAGACCATGAATGAGTTTATTGAAATTGCTAAATAACGTTTTTAATTATTATTCTACAAATTGTTTTAAAACGAAACTACTACATACGCAAACACCTAGTCCAGTATCGATCCATAGCGTTGTACCGATGCATATTCACTCCCGCCAAACTGTGAGCTTCATCTGGGTATGACTGGAACAAGAATATGTTTTTTTTATTTCAATTACTCTGACGGTACGGGTGCACAACCGTCGGCATTAATAACTCGACTCTGTAGTAATTTTCACGGCTGCCCAAAAAAGGAATGTAATGTTTTCATGTTTCATCTAGGTGTGTGTATATATTTGAGTTTCTTTGATCCACCATAACTTGAAAACGCTAAACAGGTTGTATGGAAAATGCGTTAGATCACCCTGAACACATTGTTTGTGGCCCAGAATTAACCACCTCCACCTTCACCAGGACGTTTGGCGACATCGGGAATCAATCGGGTGGGATGTTCACTAACAGCTACCCGCGCACCGCCGTAGAAAGCTCAAAAACAGCTGCATCGAGAGTGGATCTACAAGCGGATCAGTATCGCAACCCTCTAAGAAGAGCGAGAAACTCACCAAGCAAATGTTATGAGCTGAGTGTCACGTCAAAATCTTCAACGAGTTCGCTTCTATTATCGTTAAAATAACGATAGATCCATCAAAACGTCTTGGATCCTATAATTCCTGCGTGAGCCGGGTCTGCGGTTTAGTTAGTGGAGGCTGCGATAAAGGGGTTTTCGTACCATATCGTTGCTTAGAAACGTTCTGAATTTGTCTTTAGCTACTCTAGAAGACTATCCCAGAAGAACAAGATTTTAGGATATCGAGAGATTCTACATGGATGACTGTCGCGTGGACTAACACCAAATTCGCATAGTTAATGAAAAGGCGAATTAAATTTTTGTAAAGTGTCCCCTATGGGACAGTTTACTCCTCAAACAGACTTATCTAAAGACGTAAGATTTTTTCCTAACGTAACTACCAAATACTTTATCTTCTTGTACCAGAGTATCGTCTGACCGAAGACGGTCATTGAGGGGGCTGAGGTTCTTGTGTGTCAAGCTAAAAGAGATTCGCATCGAGCTCCTTATTTGAAAGAGCATAATCTCAATGTAATCTGCTAGTTTATCTAGAGTAACATCACTAATAACTTTCGTTTCCTATGCCAAAAACAAAATATGATTTAATTTAAACAACAAACCGTCAATATTTTTAAAATTTCTATTCGATACTCGTTCGTAACGTCTTATCGCTTCGTCTTAATCGTTGGGTTTAGTTACGGTTACGTTGGCTCGCGTCATTGCATTAATTGAATGTTAAAATACCACTAACATTGACATTCATTTCGACCTTGAATTGGTTTAACGTCACACTGTTCGTTGTTGTAAAATTGACACATTTTATGAGAAAATGTAAATTAATGATTGCAGTGTACTCCTCTGATTACTTTCGCATTTGGAGGATGGCGTATTAAGAAGTCCGCGATGAAGGAGCAACATCGTGGAATAAAAAAAAAATTTTTACACAATCCTTATAAAAGTTAATATTTACTGGACGTGTTATAAGCGCGAGTAAGTAGGTAGTAAGTATATAAATCAGCACTGGAATGCTACTTCACCGCAACGATGAAATGCAATGACCCTCTTGTCGTGACAACCTCTAAGCCCCCCTCCCCTAGCTCATGCAGAAGCTGGCCACCGCCGATTCTACGTCTTAATGAATCCACCCGATCCAATTCGAAATAACATTTTACATGTAATCTATAGCATCAGTCCGCTGAGCTACAGCGGCGAATCTTCCCAGCGGGCCGCGATTCCGATCCAGCGGGAGAAACACTTGTAAGGCAGCCGCTTTTCAGCTGTCAGGCCTCCTTCGATGGCGTTGGGACAGATGTTAGAAAGACCTCTCGATTTAGCTCTCAAGATCCGCGTCCGTCGTGGTGTAATTGGAAATGCCTCCGAGCAACCAGCAATCCCTACATCCCAAAAAAAACCAGCCGCCTGCCTGTTCCTGCCGTGAAACAATCAGACCCTCTTGTTTGAAGGGTGAGACAGCCGTTATACCAAGTAATCCAACTATGACCTCATGTCTGAAAGTACATGATAACTAAGAGCTTAAATTCTCACTTAACACTTAGTCTATGGGCACAAACTCACTCACCTATAGCAATAATGAAAAACATGAATACTTATTATATCGTTTGCGATTTTTGGTGTCGTATATAAATCGTGTTGATATCGTACTTTATAAATATCTAATCATTTTTGTCTTGAATCTCATATAGTTAAAGTTACAAATTATAGTGTTATTATTATTTTTATTACCGTTATAGTTCGTTAACGACTAAATTCAGCGTTCCATTAATATTAGATTACAAACCGAATAGGGTGCTTATGAAATCATAAACCGGCGATTTCGTTATCATGAGAATATTCGCCAAACAAAAACATACTCTTGAATTATTATTGTAAATTATAGTATTATTTGTTATTTGCTTAGATATATGTAATGAATGATTGAATGTCAATCTGTCATATGACAATTGATAGTTGTTCAAAAAATTTTTCGTTGTTTTATAATGGTATTTACGGTGTTTAAATAAGAAAAGACGAAATTGCGTTTCTTCTAAACAACAAGAAACAACATTTAATGCCCTTTCTTCAATAATTCTTTAACACACATTTCACAACGTCCATTAACCGAAAAATTATTTGAACAACTATCAATTGTCATATGACAGATTGACATTCAATCATTCATTACATATATATTTTTAGGGTTGTTAAAGCAGTTTCTAGATAATTAACAATTAAAGACGTAATGGCAAAATGGACAAGGTGGGTTTATCAAAAACCTATACGTATACAAAATAGAAAAAAAAATGTCGTATGTAGTACATAGACCTTTAAAGTAGGGACACGATAGGTAGGGATAAATAGCACCCATTTTGAAGGCACATACATAAACATATATCTATCTCGTTCTTACTCAGCACTTTAACTCGCAGGAAAACAATATAACAGTATTTCAGTGCGTACATAAAATGAAACATGAATATACGTAAATATCTCCGTCTCCGTCTAATGAGGCCGAAAATCCGCCATGTTTAGCGCGCCAAATGTCATTGTCACGTCAGTTCGGCCGTCTGTTTTGGGTTGTACATTATTTATTGACTTTGATATCGATTTAATATGATTGATTATATAAAATTTCATAATTTATCATGCTTAAAACATACAAAAATAATAATTAAAACGTATTTTATAGGATCTCAAGAAAGTCGATGCCCTAAAACTATTATCTATATGTATTTAAATTCATTATGGAGCCCTCATCCGAAAAATCCATTTTTCGGTCGGAATCTATTGATCATGACACTAATCATAAATACCACTTTAAAATATGTCATCAAAACATATTTAGACATTCTGTTTAGATATTTCGGGAAAAAGGCTACCGACAAAATCTCTTCGGAACTATTTAAATAAAATAGTTTTATTCCGCAGTGAGTAAAACACTATTGTAAATTTGTTAAATATTTAATAATTAAGTGATTTTAGAGAGGAAGTCACAAGGAATGACGTTTGTAATTAATGAATAAATGTTCTGTAGGTGTTTTTTTTTTCACGCGGTCCCTTGATAAGTTTAAAATTTGAATCACTCTCAAGCGAAAGTGATTCAAATGGTGCGGCGCACCTTCCTTGGGGTGCGCTGCGGTAGTATGTTACGGACTTTAGAGTCAGCAAAACAATTAAAATAGATTGTAATAGTCTAAGAAAAACACGTACTCAAAATACGATAACATTTAGCATGCTAGAAATGGGCTGATGGCTTTGAACTACGCCATATCTTTATGTTTTGCGACAAACGACAACTTTATAAAATCAGTGTAGCAACTTTTAAAAATCATCATATCGTTTACTTGGCAAATTCGAAGGACGAACTTGTCTTAGATTTCACCCATCTAAATCATATCATATTTGCACATAACAATATACCTACTTACTTCCCATTAAAGTATAAATTCTACAAATAAATAATACTCAACAATATTTAAAATAAAATGAGCCAAGAACGTTTATCGATAAAACCTGATAACATTGAAATCTTTTGTACAGCACTAAAGCCGCCATGTTTTGTGGCCAGATGACGTCACAGTGGCACGAAATTTTGGTTGACGTTTCATTTCCATAGGTTTCCTACTTCATTGATGTAGTATCATTTTCAAATGAACTTTTTTGAAAACAGTACAATTTTTCCCGCGCTAATTTTGTTGACAATTTAATTTGTAATATAAGGAAACGGCTAACGGAAATATAACATTATGCCAATGACAATTTAGGATCCCTGATTTTAAAATGGATTTATAGAACACAATATATATGTACATTACAGAATAATAATACTGTCACAACTACCGCTATCACAACTTACCATCTGCTCAAAAGGTATGTCCTTCTCTTGCAGCGCTCTCATAAGCTTCGCTGCGTTTTGATAGTGCACATTATCGTCGGCGTTTCCGTGCATGATGTAGAAGTCATGACCGGCCAGTTTGTCGACTAAGAGCGTGACGTCACCGGCTTCGTATCCAGATAAATTGTCTTCTGGAGTCGGAAGTCCCATGTAGCGTTCCGTGTACATTGTATCTAGAAGAATTGCGTTTTTCGTGAGCATTTTAGAGAGAAAAAGGCAGACGGGCCACATCGCATCTGGTGTTCAACATTTATCAGAGTGCATAGACGTAACAACATGAATGCCTCATGTCTGCTTCGTGGCAGAAATAGGCGAATCTATAGTACGGATAATGTATTTCTTCGTTGCCGTTACCGTTCAAATTTTTTTTGTTAAATATTGATACCTAGTGTATTATTAAGCCCCAGTGCAATCACACTATGAATGATAATGATATGAATACACCGGCTAACACATCCGGGCCACAGATTAGCTTATGCTGACGAATGATCAAAGGACACACACACTTCCTTGTAATTAAAAATTAAAAATACATATAGCTGATTGTGTCTCTGTGATTACCAAACTTGATATATCAAACAGTCGGCAGACCATAGCTATGTGGACACACAGTGATTAGTCACCTCTATTAATCTAGATATCCGCTCTCCGAATTTGAATATGTCTATCGTTAATGTAGACTTATAAAAATATAGAAAGTAGTGCTTAACGACAGCACCACAAAAAATATTCGAAATATCTTCATAAAAAATACTAGTGAGACATATACCTACGTGCTAAAAAAAGTTGGACAAAAATAATTTTAAGACTGCAGTTATACTACATAAACTATTGATAATGTTATATACCTACTGGTTACCAACAATTCTGCTGGTGTCAAATAGTAATCGTAAATTATAGGAAATACAAAGGGAATATCATGACCTAAATTTCTTTTATTTATTTAACGTTCGCTTAAATGGGTAAACGAGGTCACGGCCCGCTTAGTTTTAAGTAGCTCCAAGAGCCCATAGACAGCAGTAACTTAATTGCCCCCACCTACCATGTGACAAAGTTCTAAATCTCAGTTTCTACAGTACAGTGGCTGCCCCGCCCTTCAAACCGAAGCACATTACTGCTTCACAGTAGAAATAGGCAGGGTGGTGGTACCTTCCCCTCCGAATTCACAGGACGCCCGACCACCAGCAATTATGCAAATTATAATTTTTTCGAGATTAATTTTTATTACACGATGCTATTCCTTCGCCGTGAAAATCGATTGTGAACTTTTGTAAAGTGCATATTTTATTTAAAAAGTTGGTACCTGCTTGTGGGATTCGATCACCCGCACGGTCGCATCGCACGATACGAATGCACCGAGCGTTTTATCCTTAAGGCCACGAGGGCTTCGAATCGAAATTTGTTGTCGAGTTCAAATCTTTATTATTGTGTTCTAAAGAAGACAATAGTACAGTTATAGCTACCCGTGAAGGCCACTATCATTACCACTGTTATCATTCCGCTCATTAGCTCACATTACGTCCTACCAATTTCTCAAGTTTTATTTACTTATTAATCCTACATCTGACAGGCAGCAATTCATAAAAGTATAAGGCCAATAGTAATAATAATGTATATTGTGGTGCTCAACTATTATAATTGAATAAAAACAAGAGAAAAAATCACAGAAATATTTTTTTAGTTTAAAATATAAAAAAATTACGAATCGAAATTTACACCTTGTAGAAAACGTGACTGCGAAGCAGGTTACAATTTATTAGTTTCACGTAATTTAAAAACCTAAAATACTTTCTCTCCGACACTTGTTTACATGGGAAATACACGATTTAAATAAATTTAACGGCATATTTCGTGAAACTCGTTTGTTTATAATAAATGTATCGCATAGGCACAAGCGGATTTCTTTTAAATACATCGTTATGCAAATTTATTTCGAAAACGAAAACCGTTTTTCTATATAATAAAAACGAAATCATTTGATTTCTTCGACTATATATGTATATATCTTACTGGTGGTAGGAACTCTTGTGAGTTCGCACGGGTAGGTTACCACCACCCTGCCTATTTTTGCCGTGAAGCAGCAATGCGTTTCAGTTTGAAGGGTGGGGTAGCCGTTGTAACTATACTGAGACCTTAGAACTTATATCTCAATGTGGGTGGCGCATTTACTTTGTAGATGTTTATGTGCTCCAGTAACCACTTAACACCAGGTGGGCTGTTTTTTACAGACATCTCGATTTCTTTTTGTATCGAATATACACCAACAACTTTGTATTTCTGAACATAATGCTATTTAAAACTTCCTATTGTTTGGAAATCTAATACAAACCCAAAATAATGGGACATTTTCATAATTACAAAACTTCAATTGTGCATTTGTTTTTACAAATCTAAATACGGTAATTCTAAAGAAAACGGCCATTAGCACGACAAGATTCGCTTCAATAAGTAAAAACAATACATATGATAAAACCGCAGAATTCGGGATGTCTGTACATTGAAAAAAAATAAGCAGGGAGTAAATTAAGAGTAATATAACAAAAAAAAAAAACAAATTTAAATTCCTTTCTGTCTATCTGTTTACTTGGCGAGCGCATGTGTTAGGAAATACCGAACAGATTTTCATGCAGTTTTCACAAGTGAATAAAGATAAATTTGATACAGATTGATTGGATAGACATAAATTTGAAATTTGATTATTGATACGAAAGTAGCTCTGTCTGCTTGATACATTTTCATGCGCAAACCACTGCTAGAGTTCGTGTTAGCAACGTCGTCAGGTTTGAGCCCCGTGAGCTCACCTACTAGTTAAGGTTACGCTGATATAGCCTCTCAAGTCTATCAGCCTAGGTAGGAAAAAAAAGCGGAAATAGTTTGAACCCTAAAAACGAATAAATACAAGCTGTCTTTCGTCCTACTTTTAAACACGAGTCTCTATTCACGAGAAATAAAAAGTGTAGGCGAAGCTGCGGACAGAAAGCTAGTTTATAAATAAAAATTCAGATATGTAATGTTGCTTGTATTTTATGTTACGGCCACGAAAACTTAGATTTATGGTAAGTTTTTATTTTAAATGCAATCTTGTATTTACAATTTTGGCGATTCATTCTGAACAATGTGTAAAAAAGAATCTCTAGTTTCGTACGTAATTCCATAATAACGTTAATAATAGGTTAAGTAGTGTAATTGCTTAATGTATATTGTGAATAAAATTGTTTCCTTACAAGTTAGATTAGTTTTCGTTATCGTGTTGTTTTGTCGCATAATTGTAAGGAACATTGTGTACCAATTCAGCAATTTGTCTTGCTTAGTCGTGCGCACATAGCTTATGTTGCAAGCCAGATTTTGTTTCTTTTTTATGTATCTTTTTATCTTGTGATGTGTATTATGTGCCTAATAAATAAATTAATAAATAAATAAATTCCGACGAAATATTCTTGTATTAAAAATACGATACTACCTTTTAATAGCCAACCAAAACAAGCGTAGCTGAAAATGAATCTTTTAGTTCACTAGAGCTGAAAACTGTGAGTTATTCGGTATCAATTTTGAGATACTTGACTAAAATTTCAACAAATCTAACAGCTATGCCCTATTTTATATTGAGTCCCTACTTATAACAGTGATGAAATTCCTTGTGGCAAAAGACGCATTTCATCCAATAACTAGCGACAGAATTAATACTTTTCTAAATAAATTTACGTAATAAACAAATACAGGTTGTAAAATATTAATTTTCGTCAAAAACGTCTACATAATCTTCTTTGAGCTGTAAAATAATAAAAAACTTTACAGTGGCCTTCTCATTGTGACGTCTGCGGGTTTTAGTTACTTATTTAGCACAAGGTCAGCCACGAGTTCGTCCAACTGTCTTGAGCATTAAAAAAAAACTCACTATAATACAGCCATGAAGTAACAGGGGCTCCTGAAACACCGCACTGGAACATATGGTCATTGTCGTGGACGAGCGTTAAGAGCGTCGCGTACCCGCCGTAACTGTGGCCCCACATGCCAATCCGGTCGCGGTCGATGAACCCGTACCGATTCAACACTTCTCTGTAATGAAATGCAATTGTATGCACGTCCGTATTTTTATTATCTGTTTACGATCTTAAAAATGCCATTTTATAACGCATGAAACACATGCGACCTCATGCATGAGAAGGTCGTTCGAATTGTCATTGGCGCCCGTCCCTGGGGTCGTTTCTCTCCAACGAACCATGTGGATCATAGCTTTGTTATTCAGTTTACTGGCTGACTTTATTTTTAATACAGAAATACTAGTTACATACTCAGTCGTATTTATCAAATTGTAATTGAAAAATGATAAAATAAATTATGTGTATAACGTACTAAAATAAATTAATATGATTCCGAATAGAGTATTATGTAAAATAACATCTTGTGTAAAAATGAAAAGTTGTCGCTTTAGAAATAAGCTGGTTTTTTTTAGAGTAAAAAGTATTTCATCTTAAAAAATTATAATATATTGTGTCTTCATTGATGTTGTTCGATTAATATGTAGTCGTAAATTTCAATAAGTTAATTGATATTGCCGTCACTTATATAATGTTAAAATATATGTATATGAATACTAAGAGTATTAAACATATCCGGTACTTGGCGAAATTTCAAATCAGATTAGACAAATGCATTGATGTAAACTTACTTCAGTATGACAAAATGATCTTCAATTTCGACAGTTCCGAGGGCATTGTTGAGAGAATACAGGATGTCTTGTCCTTTGAGACCAGAGCCGCGGCCATCGGCTACCATGTAGATCATGTTACGACTCGTTGTCAAATACGAATGATAACCTAAATGAAAACGGGAAAATTTATATTTTCTCAAACTTTCGCCATAACGTCGACTGTGTCTATAATTGGTTAAATATACATATCTCGATATGTAGAACAGATACAGTTTGTCTTGGGTTAGGAGCTATAGGAAGAATGTCGATTTTCAAAAATTTCCTTTTCAACAATTAACCAATGGCAATTAGGATACACCCAATAGGCTGTATGCGAACGCTTTTTAATTTTCCTTTCTTTTTAATTTTTATTAAAAAAAAAGATTAGTCATGATGCTCGCAAAATAATCGAATACCTAATTTAAAATTTGAATATATAAACGCAATTTTATGATCTGCTGTAAAATACGTCTTGAACGTCGCCTAAATAGAGGCATGTTATCATTTTGGGTAGGAACGTGATAGAACAGGAAATACCATTAGCTCATTTAAAAGTTACAATTATCTTCAAAAGATTTCTGAAAATGTCAAGCAGTGCTTAATAAAGCACACTGACCGTGGAAGATTGGGACAAGTTAATTATAGTGGCATATGGTGCGTTGATAAAAAGAGAAATAACTTAAAAAAAAATGTACAAATTATTATTAGATGTGTGGACGAGCTCACAGCCCATCTGGTGTTAAGTGGTTACTGGAGCCCATCTACGACGCAAATGCGCCACACACCTTGAGATATAAGTTCTAAGGTCTCAAGTATAGTTACAACGGCTGCCCCACCCTTCAAACCGAAACGCATTACTGCTTCACGGCAGAAATAAGCAAGGTGGTGGTGCCTACCCGCGCGGATTCACAAAAGATCCTACCACCATCTTCCAATACATACCTACAGTGAACGTGTCAAAGACCGTATTAGTGTTGGGGCCCGAATACACATAGAAGACCATGGGATATTTAGTAGTGTGGTCGTTAACGTCGAGTCCAGGCGGCAGATGTAGCCTCACGGGCGCCGGGAACCCGTTCTCAAGTGGCACCGTCGTGATGATGCTGCCCGGACGAGTCTTCCCGATCAAGCGCTGACGGACTATGGCGTTGTCCTCCCACACGTATAAGGTCTCACGGGTCTGCAAAAGTAAATATGTACACGATAAATATTGGATAGTATCAGCAGACGCATGAAACTATGCCTAAATGCAAAGGCGGATCCAGCTTTGGCGCCAGGAGGGGGTCACATAGTCGTGGGCAAGTTAAGAACTTATAATTTAATTTTGATAACAATAGATAATAAATAAATCATGATGTTTTTCAATTAGTCCAAGTTAGTTCAAGTCCTGGAACTATCTTAGGGGGGGGGTCATGACCCCCATGACCCACCCCCTGGATCCGCCGTTGCCTAAATGTTAAATTATCTTTAGAACACTTCACCGAATTCTGGACTGCAATTTTTATATACATAGGTATTATTTTTTTCTGCCTGTAGGAGCATAACGGGTCTTATTACTATAGAATGAAATAATTTTTCTGGCAAGGTATTCATAATTTACCTGAAAGATGGACTAAGTGTGTAGAAGCCGATGGCGAATATTTCATAAACTCAAAATTTTTATCCTTTGAAATTCATGTCTTTGTTTTATCACAAAAACCAGAAAAGACTTAAGTGTACACCTAATTTATAGTAATATATAAATCTACAGTGGTTTTTACGGATGTTCCGTTATAACTACTGAACCGTGCATCCGATTGACTTGAAACTTGTTATCTATGTAGAAAATACATGTACTTAAAGGTTTTTTTTTTTTTTTTTTGGTCAGGAGGATATCGCCGGACTTCCGCCCTCCACTGGGATGGAGGGCGGGGCATGTCAGAGTCGAACCGACTAAAACCTCCTGTCGCTCAACAACCAACGTCCAAACCTCACATGAGACAGAACTCATGGAAAGGCAAAGGGGGGAAAGTGAAGTGTTTAGTGCGGAGCACATCTCTCCCATCACCCTCCCCCTCGGGACGCCGGACTGGCGGTCGTCGGCGCCACGACCACCAGCCCTCTCGGTCGGCAGGCTATCCGGAGCCCGCCTAGATGGCGCCGGTTAACTTAAAGGATACGCTAATATTTATATGAGTGTTGGACTCCCTAATAATAATGTTAACTTTAAATGCCTAGCGAAGCGGGCGAGTACGGCTAGTATCATAATAAAATGCAAATCATAGAACTAAAAACGGGTTAAATAAAAGGAAACAAGAAAATACCCTTCTTATAGCAAGGTGCATTCGACTTACTACTGAAGATATAACACAAAGAGGTCCGACAGGCGACCGGTCGCATAACTCATGACAAACAGGGATTTACATCGGGATGCAGCATGATAAGAGGACATGCTGTGTCGACCCCACAACGTGAGATATGAGCAAGAAGAAGAAGAAAAAGCAAACTTCGTTAGTACTCAGGAAAACTTATCTAAGGAGCGTTGCAATAAGCTGCAACTTTACTAAACTAATAACTGACTGAAGCATCAGCCAGTGATAGATAACCTGATAGATAACCTGTTTTAATCATTCTTTAAAATTCGAGGGCTCTCACGATACGTTTCAACTTATATTTTATAAGAAAGTTGCTTTTAAATAATCTGCCACTGAAGACAGGTATTTGGTTTTTTCTAGAACAATTGTCAAAAGATAAAATTGTCAACAGTAACTTTGTTTTTTTTAAATTGTCTTTGGCCGGATCTTTACATCAAAATAATTCATTTAATTTTGTTTTCAGGAAGTATAAAACTCTTTAGGAGAAGAAAAAAAATTATACAGACGCAAAGACTATAGACGTTACACGGCTCCCCTCCCAACTCCACAACTATAATAACTTGAAAATCTTAGTTTACATTAGGTTTATTTTTATGTGTTTTCAGATCATAAAGATATTATGCCGCGCACAATTTATTCGCATTTACCCTGCTGTCATCTAATGTGTAGACAGATATAATGATACTGTGGCGTTGCCAGTCATAATCTTTGTATAGATTTAAGGCGGCGCAGGTTGTTTATCCGATGCATTACTGAACAGGCCTATCCAGATGTGCAAATAGTTTAGCACGAAAAATACTTTCTTTGTCGTCTAAAAGGCTAAAACTACCACCACCTCGGGAGCTGTTATCGCAGAAACCATTCACAAAGCTATTCACGAGAACCTGAATCGGTGGTTCGACTGGAGGACTTGGAATAATTCTAATGTGGCGGTAGCCATCATACAACGCAAGATATTAGACAGATGCCTGAATCTCGCTTACAACATTATCAAGATAAGCTTGCATATATACAACACATATAAGTTCTGAACGAAAACATTCGGACCGTCGGTCTACCGAGCAATATCATCCGCTCGGTGTAAGATATTTCCCTCCGTCTTTATATCTCTCCACAGTAATATGTATAAAATTTTAAGTACGACAGTTTAAGTAGTACAAAACAGACGACTGGTACATTATTTTCTACATTTTGATTAAATTTTACACTACGTATCAGACATTTGTGAAGCAGCGGACGTCTGTAAGCTGATGATGATGATGACATGTCCAGGAAGCCTTACCCTCGGATTGATGATGTAAGTAGCAGAGGGCTCGTTGGGCGACGAGCAGGTTACGGTGAGGTAGGATCCGCCGCGGCTGGCCGTGGCCGTGGCCCACGTACAGGGTCCCCCGTCCGGCAACACCAGATCGCAGCTCAGACATCCTATATTGGCCCCCGCAACGTGCAACTGGGTCCGCCACGGCATGTCTGTCACCGTGCGAGTGTAGTAGCTATTCAAGGTATTGGGGATATCAAAGAACGTTTTTTTTTTATTGCTTAGTTGGGTGGACGAGCTTACAGCTCACCTGGTGTTAAGTGGTTACTGGAGCCCATAGACATCCACGATATAAATGCGCCACCCACCTTGAGATATAAGTTCTAAGGTTTCAGTATAGTTACAACGGCTGCCCCACCCTTCAAACCGAAACGCATTTCTGCTTCACGGCAGAAATAGGCGGGGTGGTGGTACCTACCCGCGCGGATTCACAAGAGGACCTACCACCAGTAATACAGAACGTAGTTGTGTACCTATTACACGGATTTAAATCCATGCGTTACGTTTTTATTTTATTTCTAATATTTTACATAAACTACAACATATGTTAAACGTAGACACAGGCACAAATCTGAAGAAAAACTTTTTTTATTTATTGCCTTTGTATGAACTATGAAGATGCTGTAGCAGTCAATCTCAAAGAAGTTAAATCTCTCGATACCTCTGGTTTCCGCATACAGCGATCGCCAATAGGTGTTTACTGGTAAATAGAGTGAGAATTTCCATGGGTAACAACATCCAGAAGAAAATTCAGCGAATGACCCATGCCTTTCGCTTTGAAGCCATTAACATACAATTGAAACTTCGACTCCATGTCTCAAGATGTGTGGCAGCACCTTTTAATCTCCTTCTTCTATCTTCCATATATATAAAAATGAATTGCTGTTCGTTAGTCTCGCTAAAACTCGAGAACGGCTGGACCGATTTGGCTAATTTTGATCTTGAATTATTCGTGCAAGTCCAGAGATGGTTTAAACGGTGAATAAATATGAAAATGCTCGGAATTATATAAAATCAAACAATTTTGTGTCCCTTTAATGTGTCCTCCGTCAGACGGATTCCTTTTGTTTGTTTTAAGTTTATTTTACACAAAAGCTTAGGTCTTTTATTTATCGATTGAGGCACAGCGAAGTCTGCCGGGTTAGCTGGTCTCTAATAAATTAAGAAAGTCTTGTTTGCAAAGCTAGAACAGCAAAACAAAAATAATGTATAAAATCATGCATACTAAGCTAGATTCTGTTCATCCATTCCGACGAAGTTATTGACGGTGAAGGCTCCAGGTGTTATCGAACTGGATATGATCTGTCCGGCGACCCTCATGCTGACGTACAGGTGCTGCCAGATGTTACCATCGGCTTGTGGGAAGGACCACCGGGTAGACACGTAGAAGTCGCCTCTGCTACTGAAGCGGGGTAACGCGATCGGTACCCAGCCATTTGGTTGCTCACGATGCTCATTCTTTTAATGAAAATTAAGAGTTCCAAAATAAGTTTTTGCAGAACAAAGTTCGAACGAAGGAACGAAGTTCCTTATGGGAAGATGCGGAGGGGTACCCTAACCGAGAAAAACGTCCGTAACGTAAAATTTTTATTAGTAATGCACACAGTGTACGACTTAACTTTATATTATCGTACAAAAAATAACATATTTTTATTATATATTTTTTATAAATCATTGTGAATAAAATAAAGTTGATAACTATGTAGTTTTTTTTTTATCAATAAAAAATCATAATAAAAATGTATACCCGAATAATTATTTTCTTTATACCTCGAATAGAACTTAAAATTAATATTTTTATAATAAGGAACTTCGTTCCTATCCGGTGTCCCACGACACGAAGATGTGTGGATCTTTTTCTATTTTTCTCTGTGGGTTACTTTTAGCTTGTAACTTCTGGTAAAGACCAGCTACGACTAGAAAAAAAAACATGAAACTCACTGAGCACACGTGACGGAGGTGGAATCGTTTTTAGCCACTTTTTGATTTTGCAACAGGAATCGTTCGAGAAAAACTTTTCATTCAATTTCGAATATGAAAATTACGGCTTCATCTCGAAGTTCACAACTTTATTGCCAATTTTATAACCGTTTTGTTTTTTGTTTATTATACCTACTAACCTCACAAACCCATGTGACCACATTACAAATTCGCAACACAGTTTTGTTCTGACGTCTGTTAAGCCAGTGGACCGCGATTTCGTTGTCGGTTGGCCACACCACTCCGCCGAGGATGTGGTCTGCTGTCACCTCCTCCGGGGGCTCAACGGTGATGAAATTAAAGTTGTTGTTTTCAACCAAAGCTCTCAAGTTAACCACGCGCAGCACTGCTGTGGGATTGGTACGACCGACCTGCCAATCATAGTAAAAAAGAATATGGATTTTAATATTTGTTTATTTATTGCATAAAGGGATCACGGACCAATTGATGTTAATGGTTACTTTAGGATGAGCCCATTTGTTGTAAATGAAAGGTGTTATTAACTCACACACTTGTATATTTACGGAAAATACAATAGGTACATACAGTTTTATTATAGCTATCTAAGTGGAACTGTGTTCGCTGTATGACCGTTACAACTGGACTGTCGTCCCAATATCCTTTTCCCACAAGCGTGGAATGGTGAAGATGACACCTTGCATTACGTAGCCAGGTAACACGCTACGTACGTTATTAAGCATGTGTGTGTGACCCTACAGTTACCATAGATATCACATAATTTTAAAAAATCAAATTTCAGAGCATTCAAACTTACTGATTACTAAACGGAATTTCAAAATAGTACATATTTTTTCACTTAACTTATAAATGACTTACCTTCGGATACTTAAGATCAACAAGCTCGGGATATAAGTCGTCAGGGTTGGACTTATCCACGAAGTAGTAGTACGAGTAGCTCTCGACTTCGGTATCGTTGAACGTTGCAAACGCAAGATATGAACCGTCCCGAGAGAACCAAGTCGCTTGTCCGGTATACATAACGTCCTCTGTTCAAGAATATATTGAAATCAACACACATAATCTAATATTTTACTATATACCGACTGTTCTATTATTATTTTTTATTGCCGTATAGACAGACGAGCATAAGGCCCTTATTTTTGGGTGGTTACCGTCGCTCATGGACGTCAGCAATGCCAGGAGCAGAGCCATGTCGCCTGCCTACCGTTTAATACTCTCCAACCTCGTTTGAAGAAGAACATGTCATAGCGCTCGGGAAACACCGTGGAGGGGAGCTCATTCCAAAGCCGGATGGTACGTGGCAAAAAGATCTCTGGAAACGCACTGTGGATGAACACAGTGGCTCCAGGTAGTATGGGTGAAGTCTACTCTGATGGCGGGTGGAGTAAAAACGACATGAGTACGTTGGTAAAAACAAGATGATACAATTCCTCAGAGCACTCTAGAAACGGTAACGCCAATAAAGTACCACCCTAAAGCAATTACAAACGAAAATTTAGTTCCACTTATTGGTATGCTAGGGTATAACTTTGAGCCCTACGAGTAAATACCAGAATCCTGCCTATTTCTGCTCCAAGGAAATAATTAAGATGACTGAGACTTATACCCCACACTTAGACTAAATATGGGTGATGCCACTTACTTTGTGATCTCAATGGGCTCCAGTATTGATTAGCACCAGTGGGGCCGAGCGCTTGGCATAAATACTTATCGTTTTAGCATTATTATTACTGGTGGTAGGACCTCTTGTGAGTCCGCACGTGTAGGTACCACCACCCCGCCTATTTCTGCCGTGAAGCAGTAATGCGTTTCGGTTTGAAGGGTGAGGCGGGGCAGCCGTTGTAACTATACTGAGATTTTAGAACTCATATTTCAAGGTGGGTTCCGGTAGCCACTTAACATCTGGTGGGCCATGAGCTCCAACTAAGATGAAAAAAAAAAAAATTATGATCACATTTACCACTCTGGCCATAACCTAATATGCATAGTTATAGCAAAAAAATTATCGTTTGTGCCCACGATTTTCGACTCTAGCTGAACTTAGACGTAGTTTTGAGTTTGGTGAACTTGGACATTTCACTTGGGTGACAGTAAAAAATTTTAAATAGATGTATGTACTGAATCATTTATTCTGTGCCTGTGCAAAGTATGCTCGTGCTCTATCTCTATTTAAAATTTCCTTAAGTCTCAAAATAAAAGCTTTGTAAAGATTACATAGTTTTTGAACTTCTAAAGTACTGAAATAAATGTTTTATATTTCTTTTATCAGTCTGTACTTGAACGGACTAAAATTAGGGGAGGCAGAAGTGGGTACAGGCAATACCGTCTTTACCATAAGGGCACACGGGGCCCGTGCCCAGGGCCCCCATTCTCAGGGGGCCCCTAAGGACCGACAATTTCTCTCACACATTTATTCTGTTTCCGTTATCGTGATCGTAACCAAAAAACCAGCAGCATTCTAATATCATTAATGACATATTATATCATACTGTATTTGATTACCTATAATAAATGGTCATACTCAGTAAAAAAATGTTATTATAATTCGCTTTTTTTACTTTCCAAAAGGGCCTCAAATTCTTGTGTGCCCAAGGGCCCCAGCCTGATTTCAGACGTCCCTGGGTACAGGAAGAACTTTCAAAGAAGAAAATAATTAAAACGCTAATAATGCTAATAACAATGAGGTGAGAGAAGCCATATCTAGAAAAAGTCCGGCTCGTGTACCAGTATGAAACATACATAAACAACCTTATGTTTACAAATTGATTTTTCTAACATCCTTTCTCTGCGGAACGAGAAAAAGCATCACATTTCTCCAACTTCGATATATCACTAAAATCTACATTATTATCTATACTAATATTATAAAGAGGAAAGATTTGTTTGTTTGTTTGTATTGAAAAGGCTCCGAAACTACTGAACCGATTTGAAAATTTCTTTCACTGTTTTGAAGTTACACTATTCCCGAGTGACATAGGCTATAATCTTTTTTGAAAAGAATTGGGGATCCTTCCTAAAACTCCAATAATGTAACCCAAGGTGTAAAAAAATTACCTAAAATATTCTTTACATCGCCTGCCCTGCGAAAATTTTTGATGATAGAATAAAATAATGTACTACGACTTTGTAGAACACCTTATTGTTTACAAAAAGTGTTGCGACAGCATATCTCTAAATATTGTAGTTATGCCGCAATAAGTGTTCTTTTATTTTAAAAAATAAAACAACGTCAAACATCGTTGAAATTTTTGTTAAAGACCCGAGCGGAGCCGATGCCGGCCGCTTGTTTTTTATACCTTCGTACACCCAATCGGTGTGTCCATTGTATATGACTCCGGGGATACCGTCATTCGTAAGTTGAATAGCTTGATTCCTGTTCTCGGGTAGGTAATAAACGTTGTTGTTAAGCACATAGGCGAGGGAGTGTCCACCGCCGAAGATGCATAACTGGAGACGTTGGCCATTCGCGATGTCGACGGATGTCCTGGATTGGATGAAAATTATCTATTTGCGTAATTATTGCGTGTATTATGATCTCATACTTATTTTGCATCCAAACAGCTATGCGTTGTAGCCCAAGAGCCCGTGGGCTCTACCTGTATGTATTTGACCAGACCTGAATTTTCGTACATTGAGACCCCTATACCTACCATGTATGAGGTGGGGACTCACTAAGCTCAAAGTGGTCGACGCGCCGAGCGCTCAGGTAGGACAGGTACCGATTTTGACGGATTTTAAATCCATTTGACCACGTCTCCCGTTTTGAAATTTAGAAAATATATGATTATTATTATCGGAAAATAAGAATGACAGACCATTATCGCGCATTTTACTTTGTGGCAGACCACTTTGAAAATGCTAAAAAAATAAAATTTTGAAAGTAATTGACCAGATCTGCCATTGATATAATAATATGTTGTTTATTATAGTCTTAAAAACTTATATTGATCACGGCAGACCTTTACATGCGTACACACATCAACATAATATAATAAAATCTTAGCTACTACCCGGCCAGATGTATATTATGTTTTCCGTTCACTGTTTTAGAGGAATATAATTTACTTGCGATTTACTTTAGCAATGTATTTACCGAAATTAATATTTTTTTATATTCTATATACTAAACTTCATTAGTTAGACAATAAAGAAGTGATTTTTTATGGAATAATTATAAATAATACGGTATAATGCTGATCAAAAAATAATTCAATTCCTCATTTTTATTTCGTCAAGACAAAATTTAAAAGTGTTAAATCAGTTAAAAAATATGTAGTAAAAAAAACATTCAGATCTGTCTGACTGAAGCTATCGTCAATCTACCTAACCTAATTACGACTTAAATGTATCACAACGTAGGTACTTACGCTGTAGCTATATTGTACAGGGCGAACTTGGCTGTCGTTGAATACCGGTAAACCTATAAAACAATAAAGGACTTATTGCATTATTCGATAATTATTAAAAGATTATCAATATCTTTATCGTGTTTTATAGAACACATTGATAAGGAATATTAAGTACAATTTATTAATCGTAATTGGGCACACTCGGCCAAAAATGAGCTATTTGAAAAAAAGAAGGTTTTTTTAAAAGTATCATCGGCGTGAAACAACAAATCCTAACTGTAAACTTATGTTCTCTTAGAAGCTATACTTATCTAGAATAATTAGCCTCAATAACTTAATAGTTAGATGTCTGCATCTTGTCGTTTTTCAATTTGAGATATTACTGGAACATGTTTGGTAATACTTTCAATATTTACTACATTTCTACCTGTGTTTGAAACTACGAAAAATTGTTCAAAGATATCCATAAACTATAATCAGAGAAAAACTCACAAAATCCTCTACTTAATTATTTCCGTAGTAACACTTACTTGTTGAACTTCACTAGGAGCCAGAATGTAGGCTCTATCAGCTGACAGAATTGGATTGTTAGTATTCAAAAATGCCTGTCGAGAAATTTTTTAAGTTAATATAATGAGGTCAAAATTGATTTGTCTTGTTGTAGAGATAGCTTAAATATACATCGCAATAATAAAACCTCATTGGGTATATATATACCAGCGCTCTTTCTGACATAAAGGCGTTTACAAATTGAAATTCATTATAATTACAATTTCTAATGGCTTTGGGCTAGAAGTAAGCAAGATAGTAGTACCCTTTTACCAACATTAAGAAATAAAATTATGTAGTCTTAATTGCATTCAAACTGAAGTGAACTTGCCAAATGCACGACAGTAACGATAACGGTGGTAACTCGTGAGGGCTTTGTTTGTTGTATTAGGTGTCTGTCCGCGTGAAGCTGGAATAGTCTCTTATGCTACCAGCTTCGATCAATAATAGTACTATTATTGATCGAAGGCTACCAGCGAATAGATAGGGAATTAATAAACATATGAAATACAGGATGTTATTTCTAAAACATTTAACTGTACACTTATTATGTAGCATAAATCCAAAAAATCGGCATCGGATCCGAAACAAAATCTAATTGCATGTACTGAAGTTGGCGCACCGTAATCGTACCAGCATCGTAAATTAATTACCGTAACAACTTGGGATATTATGTCTATACCTACATCATAAGCCTACTCGGATAGACAGCACTAATCAGTCTATTTTAAGCGCCCAAACATACGATCCCGTTTGCACATATATTATACAATACTGTTCCATGAGACTTCGATATCACATCTCAAGTTAACCACCTCATGATGTGACATTTATGGGTTTGGGTCAAAATTTAAATCCGGTGGATCGGTTTATTAAAACTCGCTTTGAACTGGACGCCTTATCTTTTTGGCAAAGAAAGCCTACAACTTCGCTTTAGAAGCTGATGAATAAATCGATTTGTAGGCGTTCAGTATGTTATAAATAATTACGAACCATAAGATCGCCAGCAACAAGTACACTACTTGTCAAAGTTTGTACATTGAACATGTGAATACCAGGTTCACCAGCAATTGTGTACGTGAATTCTGTGTCTGAAATTCAAAATTATAAGGCTTATATTTTCTTAAGGGTTTCAAATAACAATAACATATAAAATAACAATAACCTATCGATATTTGCGAAGCATAAACAAATAAATAATATAGGTAACGTCTTTATACCATCTCGTCTTTATATCATCTCGTCTTTAGTACACCTTCTGTTACATATTTACCAAAAAGTTTCAATTTTCTTTTTATCCCTATCAAGTGTACTTATGCTTTTTTAATGTACTACGAAATTAGTACCCACATCAAGATATTTTCGAATAATGTTAAAGTTCTTAAAACTGTAGGTGTAATAATTTCCTTTTAAAAGTATCATAAATCTCAATTATGATACACTGAAGACATTTTGAGCTTAATTTTCTAATAATAATTTTCGAAATGTATGTATTAATATTTTAATTTTTGTTTTTGTTGATCATTCCAAATGTTTTCAATTTTTAGTGGTGTACGTAATGTTTACCATATTTATCTATTGTCTGGCACTAGCAAGTTTTTTTTGTTATTGATGTCATGTCTGATGAAATCTACGATAGGTATATATCGCATTGAGTGGTTAAATTAACGGAAAACAAATTATGTTTCTTTCTCCTAAGAAACAAGCAGGACGATATTTCAGGCATACATGGAACCAGTCATTATAAATTGATTCCTAAGCTTTAAAACCTCTAAAATATGTAGGTTTAAATAAATTTTAAAATAAAATACAAGTGAGAACCACAGATAAGATGTACGCCTTGACATATTTCATTTTTTTTTAGTTTATTCATTTGTACACCGTTTAACAGATTGCAAAAGAGAATATCTGTTTGCTGTCTTTCTGACGAATAAAATCACCAATGAATTCATATTATGATGACGATTTCACAATCTCGATTACCAACCAGAAATCCAGACGCCGGTAAAACCTCGTTGCGTGAATTGTCCTGTAACGAACTCCTCCAGAGTAAAGGAGCTCTGGCTTGATGCAGTTGTAACCACAGCGGCTAACACGCACCACCACATTCCGACCTTTATTACAAATAGAAATTTAATCCAACGTTCCATATGTCCCATTGCATATTTGATGATATTTATCACTATTATCATACTCCTGCCCTTCTCCCAGTCACCTAGGGTCGATACAACAAGTTTTCTCCAGCCGTACTCCTCTATCATATACCATTTCTTCCCTCACTCCCCTCTTATACATATCGTTTTTCACGCATTCCATCCATTTTTTCTTAAGTCTACCTCCTCCTCTTTGAAGATAATTAATAGGCTTAATATTTAATTTATCCCAAACAAACGAGTCGACAGGCGATTTCAATACACAATAATACTAACAAGCTGCTAATATTTAGTAATTTATGGTACATAGTTAAATCAATAAATTTTCGTAAATAATAAAATATGTTTTTGCACTTACCATTTTTTTTGTAATATGGTGGATTATAGACAAAACTACATGCGGTTGGCTTGAAGCGCCAACGCGACTAACTTATCTAATAAAATTACCATTTTATCCCATTGATAAAGAATATCTTCTGATAATGATAATTGACCAAGTTTTCTGTCGTTACTTGTAAAAAGGTCGACTGAATTCTTCACAATAGATTAAAAACAAATATAGGTGATGGACAGTGTTTTATACATATTAAATCCTGTTATCCTGGTACTTAGTTGTTTATAAAGTTCATTTGTAGTCGTTTTCAAAGTTCCCGTTAATAAAATCACGGTGGCTCATACGAATCAAAATATTAAACATTGCTATCGAGTGGTGCAAATCCTAGTCGCAGGAATCAACTGGCCTAAAATGAATACCTACTAGTCATAAAATTAAAAGTACCTATTGTAAGTCCGCAGGGTTCCTACCAGTGTTTGATTCGAAGTAGTCATCTGTTCCGGTGCGAAAAAATATTAGCAGTCATTTTATTGGTGGTAGTAGGTACCCAATGGTGGTAGTAAGCCCAATCATCATCATCATCCTGGCTAAAATCATAACAGAAGAGGAACTTCTTTATTACTTTTAGGGATGAGCTGGTAATTAGAAGTTTCAAGTCGTCGTCGTCGTGGCCTAAAGGATAACACGTCCGGTGCATTCATTGTTCGCGATGCACCGGTGTTCGAATCCCAGGCGGGTACCAATTTTTCTAATGAAATACGTACTCAACAAATGTTCACGATCGACTTCCACGGTGTAGGAATAACATCGTGTAATAAAAATCGAACCCGCAAAATTATAATTTGCATAATTACTGGTGGTAGGACCTCTTGTGAGTCCGCACGGCAGGTACCACCACCCCGCCTATTTCAGCCATGAAGGAGTAATGCGTTTCGATTTGAACGGTGAGGCAGCCGTCGTAACTACGAGTATACCTTAGAACTTATATCTGAAGGTGAGTGGCGGCATTTACGTTGTAGATGTCTATGGGCGTATATTTAAAGTACAAAGGTTTTTTTTAATTGCAGCGAAACGGGCATTTGGCCAATCTCATGACTAATTATAATTATCAGCAACTTAAATTGTTGTGCGTACTTATTTTATTCAGTATTCTTTTCAATTAGATACCAAGGTTTTTTTTTGTTTTATATATTTGTTCGTCTTTTTCTTAATAATCTGCATTAGAAGAAGTAAATAAAAATAGCAACTAAAACCAACTACTTGTTTGAAAAGTATTTATTCAACATACAGTGACTGGAATATATAATTGGACAGAACAGAATTTATATGACAGAAGGATCTAACACATTTTCACATAGCTGCGTGATTCGTAGGAAACATTCAACATCTTCCGATTAAACCATGACGATCAGTGTTCCACCAAGTGAGCAGCTTTCTAGACTAATCATTAGACAGACATCAAACATGCCTCCTGTATTCTTTTGTTTCTCTGGAAATATACTGTAAACGGCGCCCTCGTTTAACTAGTTCACGATAGACTTATTGACTTGAGCATTTTTAATTACGGCTCCATTCTCGTCACATTTATCGCTCGCACATTTATCGCCGGTCATAAAATTCCAGCAAGTCATTTCAACTTTGCTTAGCAACAACTAATCGACAACGTCCCAAGACGTCTACAAGTATCGCCAATATCTCGTTGTGACAATCATCAAGTCAGCGTAGGACCCGCGCACATCCTCAGAGCCGAGCTTCATATCCCCCGGCATCGTGTTAGTGACCGCGGTACTCCGACGAATTAAATCATAGCTTTCCCTCCAAGCTTGCCTTTCTATAACATTGTGTATAAAATAAATTCAGACGATGACTGATATCTTTTTTTTAAACAATTTAAAATCCATTCGAGTTTCCTGTGCACTTGAACCTAATTCATATGCTATTATTAGTTAACACAGTAATTAAAAAAGTACTTCTTAAGAAAATGCTACCTGAAAGAAAAATGTCGAAGATCGACAGTTATATTAGATGAGTATGAGCTTGTGAAGTGTCACTGTGTTTTAATATGAAATGTGTGAGTGTTATGTTTGATAAGTGGTGTGATAATGTAAATGTTCAATGAATGTATGCAGGACGGACCATGCTAATGACGTCGGTGGGGCGGCGGCCGACGTTGCTCTAGTAAGCGACGTTCATACTCGGCCATGTGCTGGCGACGTTGCTCTTCCTTTATTGCAATCTAAAACGGATATGAATAATACAGTCAGTACTTGTCGTAAAACAATTACAATTTACCCAAGATTCTTTCTCTTTTTTAATTCTCTAAATCAGGGCTGTCCAAACTACATACATACCTTTGCAGGCTAATTATATTTACTACAAAAGCTGGAGGACCGCAGACAAATATTTTCAAAAAAATTATAATAGGTAAAAGATAAATTCACTTTTAAATGTCACGGGAATGGAATGTTACAAGAATAAAGATAAACTATACCAAATATTGATCAGGTATATGTTTTGACAAAAAATTCTATTATCCAAACAATTTATATCCAAAACTATTTTCTGATTAAAACATGCGTCGCGGGCCGTTGTCTAGACAGCCCTGTTCTAGATGGTAAACAAATAGCCCGAATCCCTCTTATATAATCACCCGATATCATAACAATGGACTAAATGGTTGCACATTCCCATAAAAGCTGACAATACCCTACACCGAACATTGTCCGTTTATAATAATTTCGTTAATCAGTTTTTTATTATGTGATCTATATCTAGGCTGGTAAAATAAGGGACTCTGACATTTTCAATCATACACGAAATTTCATTTACCTGCTACAAGTTACAAATAAATTTAAAGTTCATCACTTCTGGAGATTCATCATTTAATATTATAATTTATTTTATACTAGCGACCCGCCCTCGCTTCGCTTCGGAAACATTAAAACACACATGAAACCAAAAAAAAAAAAAAAAATATATAAAAAAAAGTAGCCTATGTTCATCAGGGACAATGTCGGCTTCTAATGGAAAAAGAATTTTTCAAATCGGTCCAGTAGTTTCAGAGCCTATTCGAAACAAACAAATAAACAAATCTTTCCTCTTTATAATATTAGTATAGATATAGATATATATATAGATAATTGAACACCAACATAATAATTAAACTAAAACAAATGTAGATTTTCAGAGATCTAAAATTTTGGAATATATTTTAATAGTATCTACAATATATTTAGTTATTTAATTCATTACATACTGTCATCTACTTTCAGCACAATTGGTTAATTCACTTGGGGGCTTTGTGAAGTTGGGGTGAATGGCTACTTTAATATATCTAATTTAATTTATTAAATAAATATCTAATTTAATAACTTATCATGGTTTAATCCATTTACAGAAGTACCTGATTAAAGACATTTTCAGTTTTCGAAATCTTACTCTTCTAATAGTTAAGCTACAAGGTTCAGTACGATATTCATGTAACTACTAAAGTTGCACACTTGTACCTCTAGTTATGAATAAATATAATTACCGTTTCAGCAGACAGTGGCAACCAGTAAATACATGGAGTTGTTTTTGTTTTTCTAAATAAATCATCAAGTAATTTTGCAGGAGCCTCTTCTTCTTTCTTTTTGAATTTTCTCGCTGTAAGAATAAAAGCGTAATTTTATTTCCCCTTTTTACATTTTCAGTCATATATGCAGTTAGAGACGTATATATAAAAAAATAATACAAATTTTGAGTTGTAATTGAAACTAAGGTTTATGGTATAGACCTGGTTCGGGGCTCCTTTCTGGGGTCCGATGTCGTCTTTTCTCAGATGGACGCTCTTCACGTCGCAACTTGTCTCTCTCTTTGTCTTTATCATTTTTGCCTACATCCCACTCCCTCATAGTTCCTTTACGCTCCCATGACTTTTCCTGCATATAAAAGTGAATTCTTTAATTTTCTTAATTACAAGAACAAAAAAAATCAATAAAAACTAAAGTCAAACAATTTTTATGTGACAAAAATAGACTTCTTTTATATTTTTCTAAGTCCTCATTCATAAAAATTAAGAAACCGTACCACTTCTGCCTCTCTTTTCAGATCTTGCTCCCGAAGCCAATCCTCAACTGTTCCTGGAATTGCCGAAGGTGGAGCACTCTCTGCTTCCTCACTGGACAATGCTTTATCAAATGCTTCTGTTGTTGAAAAGTCCACATGTAAAGTCTTTGGATTTGATACAGGCCATGTCACCCCATGCAAGGCATGTCTTGTTTCAACAGCTTGACTGAAATTAGCAGTTAAATATATCATAAGTACATTAATATCAGCAATTAAACTGTGGAACATTATAACAAAGTTTTAAACAAAATTATACTTACTCTTCAGTTTCATATTTCACATAGCATTTAGATTTTATTTTATCTATCCAAAACCCATTTTCCTCTATCCTGCCAGTTCTTTGCAGTAAGTTTTTGAGTTGCAATAGTGTAAATGGCCTGACTAAATTGGTGATAAAGAGTATATTTGACTGTTTGTGCCTTGGTGGACTGGGCGGTCTTGCAATTATACTGTCTTTTTCTTTGATAATCGATATTTTTCTATTGGAGTTCATTTCCTTCAGTTTAACGTTTTCTTTGTCTTTGTCATTCTCTTTTCTTTCATCTTTTTTCTTTTGTTCAACATTTTCTGAATTATCTATAACAATTTTGGGCAAGACAGGCCGATCAATTTTCTCTTTAACTTCTATTCTTTTATGTTTCTTCTCTTCAATAACTTCATCAAATTCAACAGGTTTTACATTTGGTATGATATCCTTCAACACATCAGTTGATATAGTAATTGACTTCTGTGTTGTTAGTTTACTTGGTCTAGATCCCCATTTTCTTTTCCTATTTACAACAATTGGAACAATTTGACCATTTGGTACAATTTCACTTTGAGATGTTGTTGTTTCATCTGACTGTCCTAGATCTTTCCTATTGCTGCTATTATTGTTTGATGAATATTTCCCATTATTGCATTTGGTCACTTCATTGCTTTGTCCAGAATCTGTTGAAGTTTTTCTGGATTTCTCTACAACATCAGATTCATTAATAACTTTTGCATTTCCAGTGTTTGTCTCTGGTTCATTGCTGTCTGTTTGTCCCTTTTTAATACTTACCTCAGCATTATGATCCACAGTTACTTCTAATTCCTCACTGGTTTCAATATCCTTTGATTTACTTATCTCCAAATCTTGTATTTCCATTTTTGATTCTTCTGGATGTAATTCTAATACCTCTGATTTATCAACAGAATCACTTCTTTCTCTGCTGGTTGACTTATTGTCAGTGGATTTAGTTTCATTTATCTCTGTTTGAGATGTGTCTTTGGTAGTTGCAACAGTTGTTTCCTCCTTTTCAATTAAAACAGTTTCATCCTTTAGGGTATCTAATGTTGATTCATTATTTTCAGTAACAGACTCAGCATTTGTTGTTTCAACAGCTTTTTCTTCATTTGTTATCTCTGTTTTTTCATCATTTATGGATTCATCAGTATTTTCATTGTTTACTTCAGTTGTTTCAGCGGCCGCAGCTGATACTGAGTCGATATTGAGTGAAGCATTTGTTTCAGGTCTGGGTGATCCAACAGTTGTATCAGCAACAGGATCGTCCTGTACAGAAGCACACATTTCTACGACATTACTAGATTTTATACTGCTTGAAGCATCTTCGGATGATTCTTCAATTGATTTATTTTCTTTATTTGTTGTAGACACAGAAGTCTCTACTTTGGCCTCTGTTTCACTTTGAGATACTTCATGATCACTTTTCTCTTTATCTTCATTTTCAGCGTCTTGGTCTTCTTCTTGGCTGTCTTGATTTTTATCAGTGCCATCTTTATCTCGAAAAGATCTTTTAGAACGGTGTTTATTTTTTTTCTTTTCTTCCGATGTATCACTAGGGTTATCACTGGAACTAGTAGCTCGCGAGTGTTTCCTTTTTTGACGCGGCGATCTTTCAGCACGTTCTGGTGTAGATGGCGGACGTGTTAAGCAAATTTTGAGTTTTTGTATTTCTCCACCATCGCCTGATCCCTCAGCAGTTTTAACCTGCCAAACTTGATCCGGAGACTCGTCCACATTTTCCTCTTTGGCGGGAGTTTGTGGTGGTTTACGTTCCTCTTCCGCCACGGGTTCAGCTACACGCACTGGACTTGCTTCATCTGGAGAATCATTTTCTGATGAAGAAGATTGTTTTCTACGTCGCGTTCTTGTTTTCTTTGCTTTTTCAACTTTTACTTCAGGAGAGGCCTTTGCCTTCTTACTGGCGGTACGCTCACTTTTCCGACGCATCCTCACCTAAAATAATAAGTACATTTATGTACACGGATTTAAGTCATGAGGATTTAACATAATATTGTGGTATTACATACGCTTTCGTCTATAAAATTCACTGTTTACAATAGCACGAATTCACAATAACACATAAAGAGCACACGACAATTTACAAGAAACCCACCATTTTGAAAAAGTATCATTTCTTTTTAAGAGTTTTATGACCTGGTAACTAAGACTTTTAGGTCAAGTCTTATTTTAATTTTAATGAAAACTGTTAATATTAAATTGTTTTTATACTGTTTTTAAAATATTTGTATATCGGTTTGTAAGTGTTTATGTCTTTTAATAACTCTGCAAGTTGCGGCGCGGCGGCGGGCGGGATCAAAAATCGGACTTAATTTTCATCAAATTCATTATAAGTAGGGATGTTGCATGAAAAATATCGACGTTTTTAAAACAATTGGAGTGACGTTTCGATACATTGAATTTGATGAAACAATCGATTTGATTGATGTTTTTATTTAAACTGTATTGATGATGGTCTTTGAGTTTCATTGATCTTCTTTCTTCTTCGAACATAAAGACTTTTTATTCAATTATTGCTTATTGAGAAGTAGGATCTGATAGTAATTAGCTGGTAACTAATTATGATGTAGTAAAATGCATGCAACTGTCCACTTGAAGACAGTGTACTGAGGCAAAAGAAGAGAAAAACATTGTAAAACGTTGTAGAAATAATAATAGCATCAACCTTTGCAGTCTTACTATACACTTAATTAAATATAGGACACTACTATCTCAGAGGTGGTTGAGGCAAAGCTTTTAATAAATAAATAGATCCATATCAAAGCTCAGGCCTTGGGGTTCTATGATCAATGGAACCCTCCATTAGTAAACTGTAAACAAAGTGCGAACGTCTTTAACTTTGTTACACATCATGTAACAAAATTCATCAATGTATTGTGTTTTGTTATAAAATTCCTTCATCGTGGAAGTCGTTTGTGTCTACACGTCCTTACGGATCCATCAGATCTAATAAATCTTGCATTAGACGCCTTCAGCTCTAAAACGATGGATTATGGATGAATTCTAGTAACCGTACTCCTTGAACTTTGTGCTGTAGAGAGTTCAACGTGCAACCTTGCTCAAACATTAACCCACTGAAGCTTTCGCCAGATCTTTTCAGTGGGTCACGATTCCATTCCGGTACAAGATTCATTCGCGAAGTAGCTGCCCTTGAGTAGTTAGTTAGGTCTCCTCATGAAACGGTCGGGCAGCTGTTAGCAAATCTCATCCATTCTAGCTGAGCCCATGCTCGCCCACCTGTCCTGGTGAAACTGGAAAGGCCTCCAGGCATAAATAATCCTTTATTAAAAAAACAGTTTTAAATATTTGATACTTGTAAAATAGTTAGTAATTTTCGGATAGACATACAGTTAGGTAAATGATCCTAAAAGGTTTTTTCCATTGAAATTGGTACCTTATATATCTACTTTGTCATTTAATTTTTACTTTCGCAGTACTAAACATTTGCTTTAGCAAAACAATTTAGGTAGGAAGAAGTTTATTGTCATATAAATTTTAAGCTCAAATAAATTATTGGAAAATAATTTTAATACACAATCGATGCTAATTAAATAAAAACAAAGTCATTGACAGAAGGAAATAATACCAAATCAAAATAAACATTATTTAATATATATTTAATTAAAATTATATATAATATATATGTGAAACTTCTAATGCGACTTCAAACAAGGTTGCGTTAAACGTTTAACGCTACCTTACTAGAAAGAGGCAGATCCCACGAGTTAAAAAGAATTACAAGTTTCAAGTTGTGATCCAGCTCCGGTAACCATAGGTGAGCTTCGTTGGAAACAACACCTAATAATCCATACATGTTTGTACTATGAGATAATGATTTGGTTTTCCGGCTCAAAAAAAATAGAAAGTTAATAAATGTAGATTTAATGACATTAAATATCTCCGAAATATTATTTTATGTAACATCATTGTAGGTGTTTATAAAAATATAAAAAAGGTGTTTATATAATCATTGCCTATGTATAGTCCTATTTCTACATAAATTACTTGTTTCTGGCCATTGTAAAATTAAAATCAATCGTGGCGATTCTTATGAAAATCGAATTATCGGTTACGTCAATCCTTACTGTGTGTCTACGCCTTAGTGATTACGGAAAATGCTCCCTCACTAATTGTCAAAAAAATCATGAATGAATGCAATGAATTCTAAAATTTCTACAATTTGTGAATCAGAAAATTCCACAAATCAATAATGATAAGGTATAATACGGCACAGACTGTTCTTGATTAATAGATTATATTCAACACCGACAAAAGTATCATAAATCGTAACTCAACATTCATCTGTGCCTTTTGTTTCAGGTACTATGGGCCTTTTATGTCTTATTTCTGTGTCGGCTTATTATTTCCGTATATCTAGTCGTGACACAATGTGTGTAGAATGATAACGAACATTCTTTATAATCGTCATATGTTGTAAAATCATGGGTAATCAAAATAGTTGCTGCTGCTATCGGAGTCCATCTCCCATTCGCAAAGATATAGTAAAGTTGGAAGACTATCTTCCAGAAGGAGAAGTAAGCTCAAATAACATACAACACATCAGCGAGAGGGAGCCTGATGATGGCGACATCGATCCATCGCAAGATCCGATGGCTGGCACCATTTTCATGGAACGTTCTAAAGCTTCAATAGAGAATGGTATGACTAGGAAGCGGAGCCAACATCAAATAGCTGACAATAAATTAAAGAAAAGCAGTTCCTGTTCTACAATTTACTTAGATGATAGTACTGTGTCTCAACCAAATTTGAAAAATACTGTGAGGTGTGTAGCACTTGCTATTTACTATCACATAAAGAATAGAATGTCTGAGCGCAGGTTAGATATTTTTGATGAGAAACTTCATCCTTTGAGCAAAGAAGGTGTGAGTGATGACTATGATAAATACAATCCAGAGCACAAGCAGATTTATAAATTTGTAAGAACATTATTTAATGCAGCACAATTAACTGCAGAATGTGCTATTATTACTCTAGTCTATTTAGAGAGACTTCTAATTTGTGCTGAACTTGATATTGCACCTTCAAATTGGAAAAGAATTGTATTAGGGGCAATCTTATTAGCGAGTAAGGTATGGGACGATCAAGCAGTTTGGAATGTTGACTACTGTCAAATTCTAAAAGATATAACTGTTGAAGATATGAATGAGCTTGAACGACAATTTCTAGAAATGTTACAATTCAATATCAATGTTCCATCAAGTGTCTATGCTAAATACTATTTTGATCTACGTACACTTGCTGAAGCTAATGACCTAGCATTTCCTAGTGAGCCTCTTAGCAAGGAAAGGGCACAAAAGTTAGAAGCGATGTCACGAGTTATGGAAGACAAAATAACTGCTGAAATTGTAAAAAATGGTATTAAGAAATGGTCAAGTTTAGACAATGTTAATGCTGGTGCTGGAGTAAGACGAAGTGTAGCCATTTTGTCTTAATTCATGTTGGAGCCAAATTTATTTCCAAAGTAGTAAAAAAATTGACCAAGTTATGATTTTAAATAATAACAGAGGACACCAACTTTTGCCTTCTACAGTGAGATAACATTTTACATATAGAATAAACATTCAAACCACAAGTAAGTTTATGTTAAATGAAAAATCTCACATTTAGTAAAAAAGGATCATTATTTTGTTACTTTATTTCAAGAGTAAGTGTAAAATTATCCATACAAAATTTTAATGATTGTACATAAAATTATTTTTCAATTAAAATGATGGTTATCTTAAGTATTATTATTAAATTGCAATTAATAGAATTGAAAGACTAGTAAGTGGTCCAATATTATTTTATGTTATTTAAAAATACAATTAAATGAAACATACTTTATATTGGCTTCCAAATTTGTGTTTAATTTAAATTTTCTATGTTAAGTTGCTTCCATACTTATTGATATGCTATTTTGTAGTTTTTAGATTTTATAGTATGTGCAAGTGCATTTTGACTGACATAATGATCTTTTGATTGTGGTATGGATGTATTGTAGTCTTTATTGTCAATTTTATTACATTGTCATACAGCATTTAAATATATCTGAACTGAATATTAATAATGCCAAATTATTTTAGATAACAACTATTTGTGTGATCATTATTCATATTTAAAAATGTGTTAATTTATGAACAAAACAATTATTGAAACAGGAAGTTTTGAATCTGCTGTTTCGTATTTATTTATAAAATATATGTGTATTAAAAATTCAATTATACAATCCATACTTTATGTATCTTTCAATAAAACATTTTATATGAGACTTAGTGGTATTAATTACTACAGTACACACAAGTACTGTACTGTTTAATATCCTGTTTCTGTTATTAAACTTCTTATAATACAGTTGTTGCTATAACAAAATGAATATTAAAAAACAACAGGAGATTATATTTACTAATTTTTATTCACTTACATATAACAATAATACAACTCATAAAAACCTTAAAAAAATCCATATTACAGCTTATTCAGTACATCAGATCTTATGATCTTATGATAATGGTTTCAAATCTTTCAAATAAGCACTATAGTTCTCAAATACATCTATAACATCACTTTTTTTGTTAATCTGTCCATCAAATTCTGGCCCAACAGACCATAAGGTTTCTAGATCATACATTTTTCTTGTGCTATCTGAAAATATATGTAGTGCAATGTTGCCTGAAAAGACAGTTTTAATTAGTTATTTTAAAAACTATTAACTTTCTAAGTTTTATGCATTATAAAATATGATCTTATAACATATACTAGTTCAGATAAATCTATTAAGACCAAATGGAATTAGTATTACTAGTAGTAGTTTTTTGTGGATTTGTTATCAACATTTCAGTAACATTTTTAGGCCAGGATGATGAAAACCATTTTTTTATTGTCATTCATGGCAGATAACCCATCTAATGGTGAGTGATTACTGTCAGTCAACAAAGTGGGAAATGGTAAGGGTGCAGCCAAGCCTGTGCGTACTGCTGAGTACTATCTGAAAACCTCGTTTAATGAAAGATATGTCGTATCATATGGACATGAAAATGACAAACTCAAAATTACAGCATTTTTTTTTTTTCATCTCAAAAACATTCAAAATTTATTAAAATCAAACTGGCTGTTCTAAGTTAATTATTTTATGCAATTCTCCTCCTGTAAGAAATACTGAGATTCACGAATACTTAGAAATGCCGACTGTTCGAGAGGAAGTCAACAAGAACAGGAAGAGATATAAGGAAAGACTAAATGAGCACTCAAATGAATTGGCAAGGTGCCTGCTAGACACAACTGGAGATGTGAAACGTTTAAAAAGATGGCAAATTTTAGACTTAGACCAAAGAAACTAAATCTACTGCTGTAATTGATGACATTTAATGTAATGTCATCCACAACTCGAACCTCTTGGAACACATCTGATTATGGCTATATAGCCGATTGCAGATAAATATAGAGAAAAAAAAAAAAATGCTATTCTCCTCATCTAAGTTGGATCGCCTTTGATTTGATAATTTTAAGGTAATTGCAGTGATATAAAAATATCTCCAGGTTATGTACATACTGAATCTTCCTCTAATCTAAACATGATGGATTGGTCGTTTTATTTATTTTAGATAGCTGAATGAACTCATGGTTGACATTGGTTACATGGTTACATCTGATACAAATTAATTAGAAATCGACACTTCATTATGTAGTTGTTCCAATATGTTATAAAAAACAAAAAAAATATATAATAATATGTTGTAGGTTGAATTTTGAGTAGAGCCCTTTAACACAATTCCTAAATGTATTTACATGAATGAAAAATAATATTACCTAAATCCAGTGCAACCCATTGACCTGAATCTTTTCCTTCAATCCTTGGAATAAGATCACTTTGACAACGTTTCTTTTTGTAGACTTTCCTCACAAACTCTGCAAGAGCTTGAATATGCCTCTTACTGCGGGCACTCACAATGCAAATATAATCAACATATCTGATGTCCTGGGGTACAGTTGCCACGAAGATATCTCTAGAATTCTCACGCTTAAGCAATTCTACGAGATCTTCTATTTCAAATACTCCTGACTTTCCTCCTGCAAATGAAATTGAGTAAATAGGAATTAGTTTTATTACTGTTTGTTGATCATATGGTACTGGTTGTAACTGACTTGAAGTCACAAAGCAGGTGGCAGTATTCAAGCTGTGATATCTTAACATTAAGTAGGCCCTAAGCAATACCCATCTAGTTCAGTAAAAATTAGATAAAACTTTGTGCATAAATTAAAGTAGTTCTTTGATTTGCATTAATTTAATTATCATACTTACTTTCTAAATTTATACCATCAAATTCATCACTTATCATTGGATATTTATCCATAGTAGTAATAATCTCATCAGTAGTATGTTCAATAACAGGCGAATTGTTATCCGTTATCACCTGGTACTTGCTCGTTAAAGCTGGTGATGGCGTGTTATTTGATTTGGAAGTTTGCCTAGGATTGTTTAGGCATATTCCACAGTGTATTTGCCTAATCTTTGGCTTATCAACAAAACATTTTCGTGAATTGTTATGTAAACTACGAGTACGTAATAAGAGGTTTCTTATCATAATGAAGTTTAAAGCAGTAATCGCAGAATAAAATAGAATTTTAGAGCGTCGAGTGTAGAAATTTGAAACGAATCTTTGGGAAAATAAACAAACTATAAGGTTAATTTAAAATTTGAGACATTTGAGCTGTCATTTGTCAATCACTATCAGATTTTGTCAATCAGATTTCGATAACGAAGATTTTGTAAATTGTTTTATTATTTTAATTTAGTGTTCATTTCTGTTTAAACCCAAAATGAAAGTAGTCACTTCTTCACGTGCTCTTTCAACAAAATCGCTAAAGTTCTACCATTTAACTGGAAAATTGTTTCATTTCATTCTCTTTTTGTTCCATTTGATTTCATTCAATTTCGTTTCGTTATTTAAAAAAGTAAATTAATATTTTATTTCGATTCATTGTTCATTCTTCATTTATCGAAACATTTCCGTTTTATAATTATTGAAGAATAAATAAATTCGACGCTGGCAACAATGTTACAAATGTTGATTGCCGTAATAAAAAAAGAGGGAATCATTTTTGAGATAGTGGGATCTCGTTTAATCTAGGGACATAGCGACAAAGTGGGGGCTATGGGCGAATTCAAGGCTTAGCTAGGTAGGAAGGGATTGCTTACTAACAACTGCCCGTTCGCTTCCAGAGGAGGCCTATTAGTTCAAATGCATCTACCACCGGATCGTAATCACAATCAATCACAATCACATCCCTGAGAAGATCCGGCACTGAACTCAGCGGGGTGGGCTTTTTTTTTGGAAGGATATTACGTGGAGGGATTTCCAGTTTCACCAGGACAGGAGGGCGAACACGGGCTCAGCCAGGAGGGGTGATTTTCTAACAGCTGCCCGAGTGTTTTCGAAGAAGACCTAATAGTACAAGGGCAGTTGCATCGTATATGGATCTACTACCGGATCGAAATCACGACCCGATGGGGTAGATTTCACTTCGAACTTCTTGACGAGTTCGATGAATACGGTTACCAGGTTCCCTATGCCTGCTCCTCCAGCGATTTTCATGTCGCTTCGCCTTATCGAAGTAAGGGTGGGCTAAGGACTAAGGCTCTCGTCGAACTCTTTAACGAGTTCGAGGATTCGAGAATTAAAGTATAAGGAGCCGTTGGAAGGCACTCTGGTCGCGCATATACCTAGTGTTAATTATAATTTAATATACTCAACCCGAAAACTATCAAAAATCGTCAAGTACGTCTTAGTCATAAAATGATAAATGCCAACCAAACTGACACGCGATCTTGTTCAGCATCTTCTTAGAATCTCGAATTCAGGTGTCTATTCTATCTATCTAACGACATAATACTTTACTTTGGAACTTATTTTAGAAACAAAATTTTGGCATCATGTAGTATTAAGGCGGATTTATAAGTTTTTTTTTCCGTAGATTGATGTACTAGCTCACGGCCCACCTGGTTTTAAATGGTTACTGGAGCTCTTAGACATCGGCAACGTAAAGACCGCCACCGATCTTGAGACATCTAAGTCTCCGTTTTATAGTACAACGACTGCCCCACTCTTCAAACCGATACACATTACTGATTCACAACAGAATTAGGCAGGCTGGTAGTACCTACCCGGCTAGGCTCCCAGGGCGCTCTATCACCAATGAAACCTAAGCCACTATCATCGTGTCGGTAAGTGACGTATCTCTTACTCACTAAGTAACCACTCTTTGTTGCTTCCTCATAAATATAACACAACATCGATTACCATGAAGCCAGTTTAGAGGAGTGTTGTTGTGGAAAATTGCTTTTGCCATCACTATAATAAAATACAATAAAATAAAATACGATGTAGATTAAGCGCATAAGTAACACATTTAAGAGCTTACAATTTTATTATTCGTAGCAAAGTTTTCCATTTTGCATGTAATAAATATGCATTTTTTTGTTGGACAGGAGGAAATCGCCAGATTTCCGCCCTCCCCTGGGGATGGCGGGCGGAGCATGTCGAAGTCGAACCGACTAAAACCTCCTGTCGCTCAACAACCAACGTCCAAACCTCGCGTGAGACAGAACTCATGAAAAGGCAAAGGGGTGAAAGTGAAGCGTTTAGTGCGGAGCACATCTCTCCCATCACCCTCCCCCTCGGGACGTCGGACCGGCGATCGTCGGCGCCACGACCACCAGCCCTCTCGGTCGCAGACTATTCGAAGCCCACCTAGAAGGCGCCGGTTAGAATAAATATGCATATGCAATACTCACACATATTGTATTGTGAAGTGATTGAACTTTTAAAGAGGATAGTTGAAGCTGTAATCCGGGATATTACAATCATACACATTAACTCCAAAAGTGTCCTTGTCTCATTTATCCTACTATACGCGTTATCTATATACTTCCACGAAAATGCTTAGAAACTCAGAATGGGTATCACAACTTACGCAATTATTAAATAAATAAACTTATACAAAAATAAAGAAGGAATAACATCGTGTAATAAAAATGAAAACCGCAAAATTATAATTTGTGTAATTACTGGTGGTTGGACCTCTTGTGAGTCCGCACGGGTAGGTACCACCGCTCTGCCTATTTCTGCCGTGAAGCATTAATGCGTTTCGGTTTAAAGGGTGGAGCAGCCGTTGTAACTAAACTGAGATCTTAGAAGTCATATCTCAAGTTTGGTGGCGGCATTTATGTTGTTGATGTCTATGGGCTCCGGTAACCACTTAACTCCAGGTGGTCTGTGAGCTCGTCCACCCAACTATGCAATAAATAGTTTCATATTATATGACGAACACAAATCATTTCGACATAGGCCATTTTCATCTAAGCATTTAAGTTTAATAGCACTAATTGCTTTATTCACAAATTTTAACACTACACTTGCACCTGCGCCAAAGTGTAGCATCACGAACTTATCTGACTCAGCCAGTATCTTATCTGAATTTATCAATGGGTGTGCGTCTACACCATTTATTCGTTTGTCTGTACCCAAAACACTGTATTGTGGCTTACAATTGTACCCATTTTAATTCCAACTATACACAATTCAACTAATTGTAATGTGGTTTAATTCTATATACAGTCTTTTATACTATTACAATTAAGTGTTTTTCTTCTGAATAATAATGAATCAGTTAAAATGGTGACTTGTGAATTGGATAAGGATATTTCTGGCGAGGTTTTAGGTTGGAAGATCCCGGCATGGCAGGCGCTGTTGCTGAACAGAGTACTGCCTTCTTGCGGTGGGCTTATTGTTTATCTAATAGTCATATGTTTCGACTTAACATTAATTGTTGAGCATTTCCAAAACAATGACAACGGGTAAGTGTTTTATGTGTGTATATAATTACAGGGTGTGGAAGGAAGGGTCGTTCCCAAAAATGGAAACAGTAGGTAGATATTAGCATAGATTATTCACATGGTAACTTTTGAAACCATACCTAAATTGTTACTATTATTTACTAATTACCTTAGATTAATTTTCTTCCACGGAGTGTAAGATCAATTAACGCTGGAAGTCAACGAAGTCAAACGAAGGCTTTATACGGAAAATGCGTTTTCCCTCTGTGCATTGTTATTACGTCAAAAAGCTTACAGGGGACCGGACGTCTCACTCCAACTTGCGCTCTCCGCAGCAGGATATCGCGGGGAGCGCTTAGTACCGACTACATTAAATTTGTGCCACCTACAAACTAAAATAGTCGGTCCTGTATTACGCCCACCCTGCGCTTAAGGTGCTTTCAGACTACGCTATAGTATAATAGCATATAGTATGTAGCTCATAGCACAAGAATATCGCGCACCATATATTGTTATGGATACGTTAACACTGTACTGTTCTGTACTATATATTATTATGGGCTATACACTGTTATACTTTAATATTGGTGCGATGTCATGTTGTGCTATATCACGCACCGCCCTCTTCCTCCTTCCCTCACCCCCGGCCGTCCCGCAAGCGAAACGAGCGACACAAGATTTCAAGATCCAGTATTAACTCCAACTCAATCGTGATGAGCAACTGTGCACACTCTTCAAAGATCGCGGTCAACTGAGCTTGCTACATATATGTATACTAAAAATGCTACCGATAATATCGCGTAATGTGAACGCCACGCTATATAGTATAGAATTAGGTCCTTCTTTGCTATACTATATGGCACTATAGTATAGCGTAGTCTGAAAGCGGCTTTACTGTCCTATTCCTTTCCGAGCTCTGTCTTGACGAGTGTCAGATGCTTGGGTGAACAAGCAGTGGAGGGGTTGTATACTAACGATTCGTCTCTCAAATAGCCCCTACTACTCATAATCCCGTGACCCTGTGGCCGCAAACAGTACGCAAAATAGTATAATAATAATGCTTGCCATTAGGTATAATTTAACTAGATCTTATGGTGGTCTTGTATAATTCATTACTATTTAAAAATTCTGAATAAAACCAAATGACTGAACTCGAAAATAGAATTCCATATTTTTTTTAATATTTTTTTTTTTTAATATAGAATTTATTGGTAGTCATATGTACATAAATTACGTTTTAAAACTGGCCGTCTTGTAAAACAGCAATTTCATAGGTTAACATGTTATTGTGTTTTAATGAACTAATTTTATACTGATAGGTATATTATTATATCCTTCTTATGTTGACTTTCAGATTAGGAGCTATTTGCATAATTCTGATGATTTTGCCGTCGATAGTGTCCACGGTTTTCACCCTTGCCTCTCCCCCACCTGGCTTGGAAACTGAACTATCTGGATTCACGATAAATATTGAAAAAAATGATGTCAAATGGATTGTGATGCAGGTGGTCAACGCTATATTTTTTCCTATAGCAGCTATAGGGAGGTAAGAATGGCGTATTCATAACAGTTAATGCTTGCTCATTAGCTCGGCGTAACTTGTACATGAAGTTATGTATTAAGCTGCCCTGGTATCGAGAAGATCCATATCCATAGACCGCACAAGATAAATGGGCCGCCCTCCTTGTGATACGTGATTAAAGTTTCAATTGCATTGTATCAATTAACATTGCCCTGTTCTTCCAACCAAAAAGTATTATTCCTTTACGAAAGGTGTAGGATTAAAGCACCGACTCGTGGCCGTTAGCAACGCGCTCTAACTGTGAAATCGGTAGCTACCTACTTACACAAAATAAAAATAAAATCTTGTTTATAACTACATAGTATATAACAAAGTCGCTTTCTCTGTCCCTATATCTGTCTGTCCCTATGAATGCTTAAATCTTTAAAACTACGCAACGGATTTTGATGCGGTTTTTTAATAGATAGAGTAATTGAAGAGGAAAGCTTATATGTATAATAACATCCATTAAATAGTGGAGAAATCAATAATAAATTACAGTTTCCGAAGCGAAGCGAGGGCGGGTCGCTAGTTTTATAATATAATGCTGCTCTTTCGTCGTAGTAGTCGCTCAAGATTGTTATATTCATTATTATCAACCGATATTTGTCATCAAAATCATGGTCATCGCTAAAAAGGAGATATCACAATTAGATGTCAATAAGGCTAGGAGCATAAGGCGCTTTCAACGACTCTTTTCAATTCACGATTTAGAAACCCGAATTGCCGTCTTCTTTGTGCTATCAAATGAAAATGAGTTTTGTATAAATAGTCACGACCTAGTAATGGTAACAATAGTTAACTGCTAGACGAAATCCGCCCTTTTAAGAATGCGAGTCTTTAAATAAACAGCACCTATTGAGGACTTTAGAACCCAAATTCAGTTTACGTTCCAAGTGACCCCGATATTAAGCCCTCTCTTTCTCTTTTACATTATTTTCTTTCCTTAGATATCTTCATGTATTTAAAAAATATATTGCAAGTAAATAGTATATCAGCATTTAAATCATTTTATTTACAGATATTGTTTCTTGATATTTTGGTGGGTGGAAGCTGTATGTGGTTCGAGGGCGGGTGACAAAGAAAGAACGCAAGAAGCGATACAGTTAGCTAGGGCTTCGTCTCCAACAGAACTCTATCTATTTCTCCAGTCATTCATACATTCAGCTCCACACGCAATTATTAATATCTTGTATCTGATGTCGAGGTTTAATGACATAACGTACGGCAAAGGTATTATTTGGATTTGTTTTTTTTTGGAACGAAGTTTCTTATGGGACGATGCGCAGGGGTACCCTAACCGGGAAAAAAACGCCCGTAACGTAAGATTTTTATTAGTAATGCACATAGTGCACGATTTAACTTTGTAATAACGTACAAAAAATAACATATTTTTTATCATTAATTGACCACGATCTCAGAGCGTTCGTTTGCGCAATACACTAACTCCTATGCAAACAACCGTGAATGAAGTGTACCACAATAAGTTCGCACGTTACCGAATGACCGTGGGTTGTTACGAAACCTCCAGTTTTATTTTCTTTATACCTCGAATAGAACTTAAAATTAATATTTTTATAATAAGGAACTTCGTTCCTATCCGGTGTCCCACGACACCACACATCTTTTTTTGCTTTGATAATTTTTGAGTTCTCATTATTTGTATTAACTTTTGTTCAAAATTTTATTTTTAGTATCGGTTCAATCAATAAGTATAATCGCTGCTTCTCTTCGCATGGCCAGTACTGCTACAATTTACAGACGGTTCGAAAGAGAAAAGTTATGCGGTCGCAAATATCCTTGGAGTAAAAATGTTGAACAGGATCCTTTAATTCATTCAAACGCAAACGTAATGCAGAAACAAATACCTGAAGATCTCTCGGAAAATATTTATGAAGCCGTTCCCAAAAGCGAAACTACATATTCTGACTCCAGAAATCCAGTTAAAACAAACAGCGATCTAATACAGTTCTCGCCGAGGAACACTTACGAATCCAATTTTTATGATGACATTTCAACAGATTCACATCTTAATTTTGATTATATATCATCGGTGCCATCGTATGGATATTCTCAATCGTCGTCGGTTGATAGCGATGAAGAGTACGTCAAGCCTGTTTCGATTATAGACCGGGTGGCACCGAGACGTCGGGGCACAGAATACAATATAGAAAGACTAAATATAACTCCACCTCCAATAATACCCGCGCCAAGGCCGGGCTCCATCGCTGTTTGGGCTGAGAAGATTGTTGAAAATGCCGAATCTATACCAAGCTGGCTCTCCGCTCCACCACGGCGAAAATACTGCGAAGAAGTGATCAAAGAAGAGCCCGACATTCCCCGTAAGCTACCCATAACATACATGCGAGGCTTAGAACCACAAGACACCACTGCCGCCTTGGTTAACTTTTTGGGTTGGTACTCGTTCTTTGTAAGTAGGTTGCTCTCTATTGCCTGTTTCATAAGTTTCTTTCCGTTTGTTGCAATAATAGTTCTATTTTCTCACTATCAGATAATGCTGTTATTCTTGATAGTTCCTCAGGCGAGTACCGTGAAACGAGGATTCTACTTGTTCCTAGCGTTTATCTACTTATTCTGTTTGATGGAGTTCAAAATACGTTTCCGGCACGTGCGCGTGTGGCATGTGTTTTGGATTATCGTGTGTACTACAGAGACGGTTGTATTCACGGGAGTCTGGGCCTCTATAGACAATACGATGGAGGTTTGGTGGAAATATTTTTTAGTAAAAGTGATTTTTATTAGTTTGCTATTGAGTTACATGTGCTTTTTAGTGTATTTTGTGTTATTGCAACCGCGGGAAACTATTGTTTACTTTAAGAATAAAAATAATAATAGTACGTAATACCAAGAACAATGTTTCATGAGATAAAAATAAATCAATTTAAATTTCTACTGAACGGAAACGATGTTTCTATAATCATAGAACAGCCGCTTCCACACTAATGCTTATTGAAAACAAAATAAACAATTAATCGAATCAATGAGTCTTTTACAAGCATCACGTTCGAGGTACAGATTACAACTTGTACTAATAACATAGGATAGTTTAGTGAGAATTATGTCTCACAGATTTCGTTTAAAGTCAGACAGCTGAAGTCTTACGAAATTCTGCAACGCGTGGAGTGCTTATTTTGTTTTAAAACAACGGCTTCCAGGGATTTCGAAGATACCATACGAAATGTTTTAACCTATACTCTCACGTCGAACTGTAAAATACAAAACCGACTCGACGCATCCAAAATAAACACCGTAAAGTTTTTAGTAATACCTACTTATAGCGGTGCGATTTCGTCAACATCATGGAAGTCAGCATGAAATAAAAGACACTTCATTACAGATTGATTTTTATAATATTTCGTTGATTTTTTGTTTGTAATTGAGGCCGTCAGCGCAAAAGTGGCGTAAGCTCACCATAGCTAGTATGGATATAATGAGGTTCGAATTTACCTTTACAATACTACGTAAGCAAAAGAAATACGCGCTAAAATTACGTTTACAAAGTCATCTGTTATCTACGGATGAAACTAGGGAAAGTCCGATTTCGCATCAAAATTTATTATGCTTTAAATAAATTGCAATACATAAACACGAATATGAATTGTAGGTTAGGCCACTTTTGCGCTGACGGCCTCAATTGTTTGATCTTGTATTCACCGAAGCACAGCTTTTTCTAGGACTAATGTTAGGAAATTTTTGCATGTTGAGCCCCTTTATCATCCGGTGAAGCCAGACTAGACCCTCGAGGCTACCAAATGGCAGTAGGTAAAAAAAAAAATAGATCTCGTATTAATGTATACCATTAATAATGTATGTGAGCAATATATTGAGTTATTTATATTTTAAAACGACTTTATATGTATTAATCCTATCGTATGCCTAGAACGGAACGCTTTAACGGACAGATGTTCACCAATATATTATCTTCTATCAAATATACTTTAATTTCATTACTAAACGAATAATAATATTTACAATCGTCATTGTACATATTATAGATTTTAGTTATGAATGCTTGCACTTCTTGAAGATAGTGAGGCAACTTTGATTAATAAACAACGCTTTTGAATAGTTCATAGAACAATGTAATAATGGTTGAGCCGATCCTGACGGTTGTTATTTTTGCAAAATAAATTTGTTAGTAAAAAGTTGTTAAATTCTTAAATATAATGTATGTATGTATATATGTATATGTGTGTTGTGTAGATTATTATTTTAATGACAATTAATGATGTAAATTATTTGTACGAGTACAACTGCTTGCTACAAACGAAAAGTAAAATAATTTTACATGTCTATTCTTTTTTTTTTTTTATTGCCGAGGTGAGTGGACGAGCTCACAGCCCACCTGGTGTTAAGGGGTTACTGGAGCCCATAGACATCTACAACGTAAATGCGCCACCCACCTTGACCTATTCTTGTAGACCTATAAGCTTGTTTTGTTATGTGTTTTTAAAAACGTAAACATGATTACATATAGAAGGCCCTTTTATGTATAGAATTTAGAAATTTTAAAGACAAAAGGCGATTAATTTGCCTTTTATGTTAGGTTTACTTAATTAATATAACAAAATTAAAAAACAGTAGCTCTGTTCACAGACCAGTAAGTGCTAGGAGAAAAAACCTATAAAAGTGCTTCTTCTTCTTCTTGTCCTTATGTGGGGTCGACGCAGCGTGTCCTCTTTTTCCATACAAGTCTATCATACATCAACTTTACACTCGCATCCTTCTCTCACATATCTTCTTTCACGCAGCCCATCCAAGTCTTTTTAGGACGCTCCAACCCCACCTAGCGCCTGCTGACTATGTGCCAGGAAAGGATCCGGAGTTTCTTTGGGCACATAATGCGATCCTCATTGCACAGCCTGGAGAAACTCACAATTCTCGGACAGATGGAGAGGAAGCGCGCTAGAGGAAGAGCGCCAGCTAGATGGGTTGACCAACTCAAGGAGGTGACTGGAGGCCAGATATGGGGAGCGGTACATATGGCGCAGAACCGGACCGAGTGGAGAAGATTGACATACAGTCACGATCCTCAGCATTGAGGGAACGACCAGAAAGAAGAACCCCACCTGCGGAAGCGCTATGAGAAATTTATTACTGAATTAATATTCGTTGTTTTAGATTTTGAACCATTTCCTCCGGTTTTCATGAGTTGCAGACATAATTAAATCGAATTGAGTTTTAATTTTGCGTTTCTTATTGTCATCATATTATTTCCCACGTTACTAATAATTTACAGTTTTCATGGTCACGAATGACTTCTGAGCGCTATTTCTGTGTGCAGCAATCTATTTCCATATTCTATTTAAATAAACAAGTCTCAAATAATTATACAGGTTCAATTTTATTTACAATATTAAAAACGAAAAAATATTTTTTCTCCATAAGCAATTGTTCTCAAATCTTAATTGTGTTGTCCCATCTTTCGAACCATGACTGCTTGATGGCAAAAATAGGCCAGACGTAATACAACCACTTTGATGTGCGGTGTTATTAAATACCCCGCTAACAATAAGAGTATTTTGATACTAAATAACTTCCACTTCAGGTACTAAATACTTAAATTACACAAAAGAATTAAAACATTATTTGATATAATTGACATAAAAGCCAGTATTATGTTCATAAGTGTGAGCATAGGTCAGCAGCCTTGCCATACGATACGTGATGTGGCCGAGTCGATGTTGTAGCTGAATGAGCACCATTGATATTCTAAATGAGCTTGTATGAATGAATACCTCATATTTTTTGGTTTCGGTTTTCTCTTTTTATTAAAAGAATAGGAACGAATTAACCACATATTTTAATAGATATATTTATAGTTAAATAAATAAATAAATATTTACTAACAATCACGCCACGTTAACTGGTCCCGTGCTAAGTTCGTAAAGAACTTGTGTTACAGGTACCAGATAACGGAAATATACACATACATATATTTAAAATGCATCCATAACCATGGAAAAGACATTTTATATTTATCATACAAATACCTTTCCTTGGCGGGATTCGGACCCGCGACCCCCTTGTGTAGTGACCATTTCATTTACCACTACACCAGACGGCCGTTATGTTGTGTTAAATTTGTAATTCATGTCACTCACCCTCATATCTATTAACTATAAAACATACACCCGGCGTTAGCGGGTCATACCATGATAAGAAGTATGATACTTATTCATCCAGGTTATAAAGAATTTTTTATACGAAACTTAATTCAAATCCATTAAGGTAGTAGGATTGGTGGTAGGACCTCTTGTGAGTCCGCGCGGGTAGGTTTCCACCACCCTGCCTATTTCTGCCGTGAAGCAGTAATGCGTTTCGGTTTGAAGGGCAGGGCAGCCGTTGTAACTATACTGAGAACTTAGAACTTATATCTCAAGGTGGGTGGCCCATTTACGTTGTAGATGTCTATGGGCTCCAGTAACCACTTAACACCAGGTAGGCTGTGAGCTCGTCCGCCCATCTAAGCAATAAAAAAAAGGTATTTTTGTGTGATTGACTGACAAACATCCAAACATACAAACTTTCACATTTACCTATGTATATCTATATATTAATACGTGAAGCAAAAACTTTGTATCCCTTTTTACGAAAATTGCGCGGACGGAGGAGTATGAAATTTTCCACACTTATAGAGAATATAGAGAAGAAGTGCACAATGCTAATATTTTTTAAAAATAATGCATAAAAGATACATTAAATCAATAAAGAAAACATTACACACACTACATACGATGTATTTGACGCACACACGCATGCATACTATTTATTGTCAAACTTTTGTTCTTGACGTCTGTTGTCAAAATGAGATTAAATATTGTTTGTCTTTGTTAATATTTTTTATAGTGTAGTCTTGGCGAAATTTGTGATTATAGAAGTATAAAATACAATCATAATAGTGTACAAACTTACAATTCCAATTAATTATAGTCGAATTTCTACTACTACGGGACCTCTAGTAGTTATAATAACACATATATAGTTTAATTAAAATTTGCACATCGTTATAAACTATGTATCACCATATCTAAAGAATAAAAGATTTTTGTCATTGAACACGATCCGATTAATATTATAATAATATTGTAGTAAGAAAATAAAAGAGTAAAATTATAATATAAAATAATAGAACTACAAAAATGGTACTCTGTATTAACTGGAACCAAACGTAAAATTACCACTAAGCGTGAAATTGTGTTTGCTTGGTCGAAGCAGAGGTGAGTTGAAACTGCTAATTAGATTTTCCTTGCAGTCTTTTCATTTGCAACCCAAGTTATACAAATATTATTTTTTGTTCATTTCATCTTTTAAAAATACACATAGCATTCGTTGTGATAGATTATAAATAAGTCCCAACGAATATTATTGACAGTTTGTTTAAGGTCTAAATGTAGCCATTTATCTATTAAGCTACGAGTACTTACGTATAGATAAAATCTTATAAAAATGCAAACGTGTTTGAGGAGCCGTCAGCGTTCCTAAGTTAAATTACGGTGAGCGACTTACATACAAACAGCAAGCGCTACAAGTTACTTCATCTGCACATACTATTTCTCAGTAAGGCTAACTGTGCGTCGCTTACGAAGAATGCATCGAGCGGCTGCATTGAAGATGCCGCAAGCTCGTGTTTAAAGACGGAATGATTATTTTTTGCTAATTTACCATACACTAATGGAGTCTGAGGGCCGGAGATGAGCACGCCGACGTCCGCGAACCGTTGCATTCACCATTATGAGGATAAATTAAAAAGTTTTTTATTGTCGTTATCTTACTGGAATACTTTTTTCAGGAGCTTGTGCTTTAAAAAGTTTGGAACGGACTCGTCAACTTTGTACCGGT